ATCAGGCCTGGAAATGGCGGGAACCTCGCCGCCAAAGTAGGCGGTGCTCTGTGACCCAGTGAGGGCAATACTTGCCCAGCAGCGTTCGCTGAGAAACACACCGGTATTGCCGATTCTTGCCTCGTTCCCGGGCCACTGTTTGTTGTCCAGAACAAGCTGCGCCTTCTCGCGATCACTTCCGACGACGCCAGTATCGGCGTCAGTCAGACCCAGAAATTCACCGAAAGGGAGGAACACACTGAAATCAGCAGTCCGGAGACGTTGGCTGATTTCGGGTATCCCAAACATCTGGACCTGTTGACGAACACATTTGCTGTCGAATTGATTGGCGATCCGCCTATCATTCGGTTTCAAGCAAAACACGAAATAGTTGTTGACGTTGGGTGCGGTTAGCGATTTCGTAATATTATCCAAAGATGAGAGGAACTGTGCTGCTGCGCCTTGGGTCAATCCTGTCGCAGAAGCCTTTGTTTTTCTGGTCCTGGCCTCTTCCGGAGTATGTGTGGATTCGGCGTCTTCCTGGAGAGCAGGCGAGCGATCTGCTCTGCGACTGCCCATCCGGCGCAGCTGGTCATGCTTCTTCCGGGAGAGACTAGGCATGCGCAACGGCTTTGAGCTGACTTGGGCTTGCACGATAGCCGTCTTCTCTGACGGGTGGCTGACAGTGTTCAAGGCTTCTTGACCGAACAAGCTAGCCACAAAATCACTTTTGGTAGCTCTGACCATGTTCATCAGGTCACCGGACACCACATCACCGTTTTCTTCGACCAAGCGATTGACTGGATAATCAACCTCACCAGCATAGTGACGGACCGTGAAAGATGCAGAAAGATTCGTCGTGGCGAAGTTGCTACCAGGTAAGGTTGTAGTGGCGCGGCTGACCGTGATCGCTTTATTCTTGTTCTCAAATCGCTTTCGGATACTATCCAGAAACTGTGTGTCCGTTCGACCACGACGTGTCTGATCATCGAGGATGGCAAGTAGACCGTTGCCATGCTTGAGCAGACCTCGGACAGCATCAGAGTTATCGAAATAGCTGGTTGCAGGCACGCTGACCTCTTCGCTTTCCAGCATCTCGGCCGTCTTTTCGAAGAAACCGTGAAGACACGTGTTGTAGAGTGACTCATTGGCAGCATTATTCAACAGCTGGTCTAGAACAGAACCAGTAGAGGAATGGTCCGCAAAACCTGGGAAGTCAACAATGGAAACAGTGTTGGCAACAGAGTCTTCTGCGGCACAGATCCTTTGGTTGATGCTTTCGATGATGTATGCAACCAGGAGCGAGTATAATGTCGTTGCGAGTTCGTCAGCGTTCTCGCGAGCGCCCTTTGGATCCAACATGACAGTGACACGCTCTCGGTGGAGTGTCTTTGTCTTGTGCCTCATGCTTTCTTCCAGATCCTGGACGCTCAGTCCCAGAAAGGCCGCGACGAGAGCCAAAGTGTCGGTATTCTTGACCACAGTGACTGTCTCGCCACCTTCATGAGAGTATCCACCACTTTCTTCAGCCGCAGTCAATGTCGCCTGACCGGTGCCAAATTCGAGTTGGCCAATGTGCAGAATGGCAGCAAGGACTTGACAGATTTCGGCGATTTCGGCTCTAGGGAATTCCAGCTTTCGCAAAGCCGTTTTGAAATGTTGGAAACCTTCCGCGTCATTTATGCCCACCTTCATTTGCGTTGGGTGGCCAAGATATCTCCATCGTTTCTGTGCCACGGAGGCAGACCTTGTCAGGCCTGTGCCCGACGTGGTGATATTTGTGTGACCATTGAGGCCGAGATGAGACTTTTCTGCCGCACTTGTTCCAGCCAAAAGATAGTAGAGCACATGGAAGCTTCTTTCGCCAGTGGGTACATGTGAGATTCGACTCCTTTCCAAGCGATGGTCTAACAACTTGCCCCCAATGAGAGTGGGAATCGATGACGATGCGTCATATTGGAGTTCGTAATACAACCCTGCCTTTGATGCTGTTTGGGTAGTGGTGGTTTTGGTTGTAGTCAAGGTGTCGAAGACGAAGGCGGCGAGAGACAACCTGGAGGATAGTGGCGTGGACGAGAAAGAAAGGAAGGAGGAAAGTAGGTGTGACCTGACTGTCGTTTTGCCCGACCCTGATTCTCCGCTGTCGCACAATTAGCAGGATAGCAAAACCATGTTGATATTCAGCAGACATACAAGAACACAATAGCCTGATCTTCTGCTCTATTTCCCAGTCTTGCCCATGCCCTACGGGCAAGATCCTCGGCCTCGCCCATGGCACTTCCTTCCTTTTCACCATTTGGTCCCCTAGTTGATGAGGTATATGTATTGAGACATATCAACGCTTGCGAGGATAATTTCGCCGTTGGGAGAGAGACATGGAATCGGCTTGCCAGGTGGGCCGTCAGATGGGTATCTGATTGTAAATGAGGAGGGAGTGCAGGCAATGATGCCTGCAAGTGAGCAGGAACATTGCCACGAGCAGCCATTCTGATTGAGATGTATTGAACGCGTCACAATATGTCCACAGACGAGCCACGAGTCGGCTCACCGCCGTACTGATCACTCAAGCTCTCAATTCATCGAACGAAGTTTGCGTCTTCGGGCAGTTGTTGAGTTGGAACAGAGAGGGTTTGCGAGTTGGCAGCTGTGATCGTAAAGGGGCAACGAGCGTCAATATGTGCCGGTGTAACCAATATGCAGAACGAGAGAATAATAGCGAGAGTTCGTCAAGTCGTATCAAAGATTGTGAGTGAAAGAACCACATACATGAAATCAATGTGAAGTATGTTGAGATGAGCGAACAGCAAAAGCAACAGAATTGGCTTCGCGCAAGGGGGGGTTTGAGACCAGGACGGTGGTTTCTGGTGGATAAAGATGGGCGGAGTTTGTAATCGTCATTACAAACAAAACACTCAACAGGTCATTTTTACACCCCGGCATGGTAGCGGTTTAGGCTTTTTCAGTGTCTGAGATCTCACCAACCCGGCAGTGAAGCGTACACCGCGCCGCACACGTTTCCCTCTCCAGCAGTGGGTGTTGACCCAGGCTGTACTGTCCAATGATGCTGACAGGTGAGAGTTTCTACTATAAAACTCCGAGCCCCAAGTATAGGGTGTTGATGACGGTCTTGTGAGTTGTTCACCTCGCCTGAAATCTGACCTTATTGTCATGCACACCCTATCTAGCCTTCTAGTTACCTCCAAGGCCACCTTCGAGCTTTCCTCTACGGAGTCTTTCGAGGCCGGGACGGGTCACAGCCATCAGTCGGAGTTGCTGCGCGGCGAGCGGAAAGAGCATTGGAGTCTAGCAGTCATACGGGGAGGAGGTTGGGGGATTGTCCTTTGCGAAGCAAATACATCCCTCGCTATCCAATAATAACAGAGATGGAATGCATTGTCCGTACCAGGTACATGCGCCCAGTATGCGGCCAGCAGAACAGGCATCGCATGCATGCTATTTGGGATCGGCACTGGGTGCTTGGATCTCCGACGTAACGCAACATACGAGGCACTTGATGTTTCTTTGCTTGTACGTATGTACCTGGGTAGTCGTCTACAGACACGCCAATTCGAGGCCAGAAGCATCAGGACAAGAAAAGGGGTCACGGTTATTATATTTCAAAATTTTCTATAGTGGTTCTTTTGCTGTGGGCAGCGCACTCCTTTTCTCTTCCTTCCTCTCCACACAAATTTCCCCATCCTGAGGCAGCACCAGAAGCAAACAGGATGATCCGACAGCTCATCCTTTGCCGCTATTGATAAGCGCATGACCCCATCATCGGAATCGTAATGGTTTGGAGGCTGACCACGGACACACACACATGCAGCCCGGTCGCCGGTAAGACCAACTGAGACAAATGCGAGTGGACATGCAGCATGCATTCTGCAGGTGGGCGAGACGGTGCAGAAGCGTGCCACATGCTGACCGAATCGCCATCACGTGACCGCGCCGTCGCTTGGGCCCTGCGCTGGTTTGAGGCAAAATAATTCCGTGTGCAACCCGACCACCAAACATTGGGCAACGAGTGGGAACAAACTGAAACTAGGACAAGCGAAAATGGATTTTTTCTGCTCTTCCATCGAAACACTTCACTTGGTACGAGTATTCGTACGAGTCCTAAATCCATGACCGTGTCTCATCACCAAATTTGATATGGGACACCATGGGTCATCAACACCTTGCTGGGAGACTCATTATTGCGTCGTACGTAAAGTGGTTTAATTCTTGACGCGAGCTTGACAGGCGGCTTTGTTGACTTTTCCGCGTCCGTTGCCATGGAGCACATTGACCGTTGGTGTGATTGGCCTGGACAAGATTGACAGGCTGTTTAACCTCCCGGGCTCCCCTGCAGCAACCCGAGTGGCTTAGGCCTAGAGCAGTATAACGCCCAGCAAATGTCCGGGGCTCAAGTACGCGGAAATGGGTGCTCAGACCCAGGTGGCGCCACAGATTGGCTGCTATTCTTGACCCGGCGTGACCGTGGCTGCGGATCGAGGAGGAGCTGGACATGGGTCAATATTCTGTCGTCAGGCTGTGGTATGGGTAACGATCAATACACAGTCCCCTAACCTGGAAAAACAACGTTTGGATACACTCCGCCATGTTCGGGGCCCATATTGTGGCCTTGTCGACAACCTCCTGCTCCCGCTCCCCTTCGCTCATCCTCTGCACCTTCGTTAACGACCTACAAACATTACTCTCGTTTTACATTGTACAATCTATTTGCAGCAGATCTAGCCAGCATTTGCCAGTCCATCGCTTTGGGATCTTTTTACCCTCCCCTTTTTACGTTCTGAAATGCTGCGTTGACGATTTTGACACGACTCGCTCCTATTCCATCCCTTCCCTGAACCGCCCACGATCTCAGCCTGGTTCAACCGCCTTGACTGACGCTACAAATTTGCAAGAGGAGGCCTTGAATATATTTTGCAGTATCATTCTGCATCTTAATCAATACTGCGAGTGGTTGACAGAGGCCCGGTCGACCCCTTTGCTCGACAGGGGCCCAATTTCGCCTCAACATGGCGAACCGGTACTCGACGTACTCGAACAACTCTTCGCAGGTCGGTGCTGCCCGAACAGCGGCTCAACAGCCTACCCAAGTTTCGACTACTACTCTTCTCAACTCCCTACACACGATCTATGCCTCCGGCCAAACTTACCAACTCGACTCGAGCACGAGCATTTCGGTCAACACATGGCTCAGTGTGATCAATCCTGATGCCCAAGGACGGGTAGGAGGTACTGTCGATGCAGATATCGCTTTCAGAGCTTGGGAACATGCCAGACGAAGAGCCGAAGATGGATGTATCATTCTGGGATCCCTGCATCCCTCGACACCCTCGCTCTTGCAAGCATTTCTGCAGGTCATTCCCCTACCCACTCCAGAGATTGCATACACTGCTCTCTCGGCCTTGCGTCCATTCCTCTCTTGTGTCACGCCTCTCAACCCGACCACGTATAGACATTCCTCTCTTGCTGCCAAATATACCGTCACTCTTGCCGGAACGGTGACTGGCTTCACGCTCGCCTTGTCTGGCTCGGGCATTGATGTGGAAAGGGGCCTACTGAAGATCCCATCCGAGCCCGGTCATCGTGCTTTTGACGTCTTCTACTACCTTCTGACATCGGCATCCACTCCAGCTGAGCGCGAGTTCCTAGGGTTACAACATCCATCCAAATACACCCTGTTAAACAGGTCTGGTTCCTACGATCCGCCTAAATACCTTCCAACAGCCGATGACGCCGCTGCCGCCGAAGACTTCCGTTCAGCTTTGAAATCGATTGGCATTAAAGGCTCGTCCTTCCGAGGACTGCTGTCATGTCTTGCTGGGTTGCTGAAACTGGGCGAGACAACCGGATTCCTGGTTGATGCCGACGTCCTCGAAGATATATGCGAAGATGTTGGCGGTTTGATTGGGCTGGAGCCCGAAGTGCTTGTTAAGAAGTGCTCCACGGATGATCGTGAAGTATTGATTGCGGGCATGTACGAGGCTCTAGTGGACTGGGTACTTGGCAAGGCCAACGATGCCATCGCTGCCGAGTTACGCTCCGGCGCCCTGACTCCTGATTCGAGTACCCAAGCAGGCGATGAAGTCAGCCTCACAGTTATCGAAATCCCTGGCGAGCCACTCGGAAAGGCCGTGGCTCTACGAAATGTCTTTGATGACACCCAAGGTATAAACGCCGAAATGAAGGACGATGGGGTCGAGGTTGTTTCTGCTGGTCACTCTGTTCTCAAGGAAATGAACTCTGCAATTGCGGAGGTCGAAGCTGACCTGGGTATCAAAGGAGGACCGCTTAGTCGGGAGAGAGAGCACGACCGGGATCGACGAGAAGGCATCCTCGAGAAAATCGGTGCTGAGGCGGAGGCTGGAGGATTTCTTCGCACGCTGCTCTACCCAGTAGATGGTGAAGGTCTGAATTTTGGCCGGAAAGGCCGTTTTGATCTGGGAGCTACTCTCGCCAGCAGTCGAGCATGGTATCAGCTCTCTATCCACCCTACTGACGATACGCCGAGTTCTTTGGCTGATCTGACCTCGACCACTTCCGCGTGGTCTGCGGGAGCGGTATCAAGACAATTACGAGCATGGAGACTTCCAGAATGGGCAAACCACCGCAATCGGCGGCTCGACTTTACCGCTGATTTCGATGTTGAAGAGTTCGTGACAAGGTACTCCCGACTCGGCTGCAAAGACGGCAAAGATGGGGTAGAAAGCTTCTTGCTAGAGAGAGGCTGGACAAATGGAGAAGTCATCATCGGGCGCGAACGGATCTGGATGCGTGAAAGTGCCTGGTGGGAGGCTGAGTCGATGCTCGACATGAAACCTATCGAAGGTGGCTTCTCTGATGACCCTACCTTCGGCCAGCCGCTCAACCCCTTTGCAACAAATTACTCTGCCAATACTCCTCACAACGGCAGTGGCTTCTTCCCGCCGATGGGCGATAATATGAGCATTCAAGATAGTCGGGAGAATTTGCTTGCGCAGGCTGCAACAGAGCGAGCCAAATCAGTTGCGCCGACAATGGCACGCACGATGCACACAGTTGGCGGCGACTACGGCCTTGGGCCAAAAGGCGATGATCACAAGGACGCAGTCTATGATCCAGACCTCGGGCAATATGTCGGTGGCATGGATCCAGAGCTCGCTGATCCTCGGAACGTGGAGTCCAAAAAGACGTCCGCTGGAAGACAGGCTTGGGTATCCCTCGTCTGGGCGCTAACATGGTGGATACCCTCCATCGCCCTGCGATATATCGGTCGCATGAAGCGTCCTGATGTGCGCATGGCCTGGCGAGAGAAAGTGGTGTTGGTGTTCCTTATTTTCCTGCTGAACGGCCTCATCGTCTTCTACATTATCGAGTTTGGAAGGCTTCTCTGCCCCAACTTTGACAAGGCCTGGAATGCAAAAGAGGTCGGTTTCCATACAGGCACGAATGACTTTTATGTCAGCATTCGGGGCAAAGTTTACGATATCACGAAGTTTTATCCAATCCAACACAGCGACACAGCTATCAAAACCAACGCGCAGAATATGCTTCCATTGGCGGGCATGAACCTGGATGCATATTTTCCACCACCACTGAGTCGAGCTTGTCCGGGTCTGAATGTCGATGAGAGTGTCCAACTGCAACACAATGACACCAACGCCGTTCTGTACCCGAACGCTGTCCACACCTCCGGTCATCGTTATCAGCCAGATCAACAATCAGCATTGTATAGCTGGGATTGGTACAGTGACACTTTCCTTCCCAAAATCAAGGACTATTTCAAAGGAGACCTGGTCGTTACAAAGGGCAGTATCAAGAAACAAGCTGAGACCGACCAGAGGCAGTGGGTAGTCATCCACCAGAACATATACGATCTCACCGACTATTTCTACACCTTGAATGTCATGAACGACTTTGTCACATACAAGTTTTTCCCGGAGGAGGTGACAGACCTGATCAGCGGCAACCCGGGCGAGGATATTACGAGCCAATGGGGAACGGATGCCGCCTTCGCAAACAGTCTGAATTGTATGAACAATGCGTTCTATGTTGGCAAGGTTGACTTCCGCGATACCCCAAAGTGCCAAGTCAACAACTACCTGCTTCTGGCTTTTACCCTGATCTTGTGTGCTGTCATTTTGATCAAATTTTTGGCAGCGCTCCAACTTGGGTCGAAGCGCCGACCAGCTGCGCAGGATAAGTTTGTCATATGTCAAGTCCCTGCCTATACTGAGGGTGAAGATCACCTGAGAAAATCCCTCGATTCTCTTACTGCCCTTCAGTATGACAATAAGAGAAAGCTGATCTGTGTTATTTGCGATGGGATGATCGTGGGTGGTGGCAACGACAGGCCTACGCCCAAGATTGTGCTGGATGTTCTTGGAGTTGATCCGAAGATCGATCCACCTGCTTTACCTTTCCGCTCTGTCGGCAATGGTAATGAACAACTCAACTACGGCAAAGTATACTCAGGGCTTTACGAATATGAGGGCAACGTTGTTCCATATATCGTCATCGTCAAGGTCGGCAAGGAATCGGAGCAAACAAAGTCCAAGCCTGGAAACCGTGGAAAACGAGACTCACAGATCTTATTGATGCAATTCCTGAATCGTGTCCACCACAGGTCACCCATGTCTCCTCTGGAGTTGGAAATTTTCCATCAGATCAACAACGTCATCGGTGTCGACCCTGAGCTGTACGAGTATCTTCTCATGGTTGATGCAGATACTATGGTCAAGGAAGATTCACTTAATCGCCTGGTTGCCGCATGTGCCAACGATGCTAAAATTGCAGGCATCTGTGGTGAGACAAGCCTGGAGAACGAAGAACGGAGCTTGTGGACTATGATCCAAGTCTACGAATACTATATCTCACATCATCTTGCCAAAGCTTTCGAGTCTTTGTTCGGCAGCGTCACTTGTTTACCTGGATGGTATGTTGTTCTGCCTTTTTCACCTTTGCTCGCCATCGCTAACCTCTGTTTGCAGTTTCTGCATGTATCGCCTTCGAACCGCTGACAAGGGACGGCCTCTCATCATCTCGGACAAAGTCATCCAGGAGTATGCAGACTGCGATGTTGATACTCTCCACAAAAAGAACTTGTTGTCCTTGGGCGAGGATCGATATCTTACGACGTTGATGACCAAGCATTTCCCGTCCATGTCCTACAAGTTTGTCCCGGACGCTTACGCCCTCACTGCCGCACCAGAATCTTGGTCCGTCTTATTGTCGCAGAGAAGACGGTGGATCAACTCGACCATTCACAACCTTGCCGAACTCGTCTTCTTGAAAGATCTTTGTGGTTTCTGCTGCTTCTCGATGAGATTTGTCGTCTTCATTGATTTGTTCGGCACATTGATCCTTCCTGCAACCTGCACCTATCTCGGATACTTGATTTACCGAGTCGCATCGCATACCGGCCAATTTCCTCTGATCTCAATTGTGATCATTGCTGCTGTGTATGGTTTACAAGCAATCATCTTCATCATCAAACGACAATGGCAACACGTGGGATGGATGCTCATCTACATATGCGCGTATCCTATTTACAGCTTCGTCCTACCAATCTACTCGTTCTGGAATCAAGACAACTTTTCATGGGGTAATACGAGAATCGTGATTGGAGAGAAGGGTGACAAGAAGGTCGTTGCTATTCAGGATGAAGGCTTCGATCCCCGGTCGATTCCTCTTCAAAGGTGGGACGACTATGCCGCTGCCAACAACCTGCCAGGTCGTCGTGGAAACTCTGGCACTTACCCGGAGAAGGGTTTTGAGTATGGCTACCACGATGACGCCGCAATGATGGAGATGGACGACATGCAGTCAAGCTACTCGTCTGTCAAACCAGCTAGCACGATCCTGGCAGGCTTCCCCCAGCAATCAGGGCCGTATATGGCACCGCCTCGATCGTCGACACCGTTCACGGCAATGCACAATAACCGCACCAGCACCATGACTGGCCTTACACAGTTCAAGGACCAACCCCTCAGCTTGCATGGACGGAACATGAGCATGATGAGTTTAGGCAGCCAGATGCGGTTGAAATCTCCTTCCCCTGTGCCATACCAGGATAACCCGCGGAGCCGCAGCCCGTACCTCCAGGGTGGCATGCAACACTCGGTCAGCAAACCCAGTCTGTTGGGCGTGGGTATGACAGGCAGCCGGCCAGCATCAACGGTGATGGATTTCCGCACCGTTCCTTCGGCGGGACCCAGTGACCACGACATTGTCGAGGCGATTCGCGCGGTGCTGGCTGAGGTAGATCTCGACAAAGTCACCAAGAAGCAAGTCAGGGCGCTGGTGGAGCAGAGGCTACAGTGCGAGGTACCCGCCGGAGAGAGGCGCACCTTCCTTGACAAAGCGATTGATGGAGAATTGGCCAATATGTAATTTGAGCGGATACCTATCAACACACGGATTGATTATATTGGGTCATTGGCGTCTATCAATTTTGGTGAGGCGAGGATTCCATAGAAGAATTTGGCCATCAACGACATCGCCCTAGATCGAAGCTAGGGCAAGGAACAAAACAATTGGATACAACGGGTCTTTTGTGCTATGTGCATTTCTTGTATCTTGGGATGAGATGATGACGATACTGGCAAAAACTTTCCTGGGGTCAAAAAAATGGCATGGGGTGCTATTGGCGTCGCGCGGTAATGGGCGTGTGGCACACCAATATTGGAGGTATGGAGGAACTATAGGTAGATGTGTGTGAGAGGGAGGACAGAGGAGACTCGGCCGACTTTTCATCATATTACAAGGACGCCAGTCCGTTAATGCTATATACCATATACCTCTATACGATGTATATATAGGTACCCGGAACTGTGCTTTATTCCTTAGCATTTCAATCAGGAAGGGGACAAGGCTGCTTTAATCGGCCACGTGACAAAACCTCGACGAGGCATTCCTGTAGCACGTGATCTCGAGTCGCTTTTGCTTGACTGCCAAACGTCTTTTTGTCCATCTCAATTATTTAGAGGCGATTATTGTCAATTCTTTATTTATGCCACAAGCTAAAAGGCCATCCTCCCTTTGATGTTCATGCATATGGAGACTAGCAATGATGGATATCTCGTGTACTCGGTACATTTGGGAAAGAGCTGGCGGCACTTTGCGAATCCAGTCAGGCCCCTGGCAACCTGATTCTTCCACCTTCATTCATTCGCGGAGGACCTACCACTTCGTGCTGCCTTGCGCCCTAACGTGGCTGCGGCTGATTGGCAAAGCAAGCGCCGACTTGAGCCGTCCGTTGTCGCAAAAAGAGGTTTGGATGGTTTTCAGCTCTCTTCTTTTGTTCTTCGTTGGCCTCACTTTCCAGATAACCAAAATTTGAGTTCTGTGCACTTGAAGCGCTTCCAGTGATGTCCATGTTTCTTCCTCATCTGCGAATTAAATGAGACCATGGACCCGCTAAGTTTAACAGCCAGCGTTGCAGGTCTGCTCAGCCTTACCATCAACGTCACCGACATCCTCTCCAAGTACATACGATCGGTCAAGAAGGCTGAGCAAGAATCACTCGAGCTCAAACAAGAGCTTTGTTCACTCTGCGAAGTACTGAAGCAGCTTGACCAATTCCTCGATGGCGAGAAAGGACTACCCCCACGGTTCAAAGACACTTCAGCCTTATTTACTTCGATCCAAACCTGCCACGCAACACTCAATTCGCTTTCAACAATTGTACAGAAGCTCCCGAAAGAAAGATTGGAGAAGAAATGGTACCGAAAGTTAATCTGGTCTCTCCAACGTGATGGGAAGATGGATACTATCGCCACAATCCGGCGCTGCATCCAGATATTCCAATTCTCGTTGACAATAGAAGGATGGTAAGTCTCCATCTCGAACCCATGACGGAACTGTAGTGAGCTAATGCAAAGGGCCATCGTTGCCTTAGTGATGTCCTCTCTAAAACCCTGGATGAGGTTCTGGTAAGTCGTGAAACGCAGCTAAACACTTCGAAAAACGTCACGGAAATCGTGGAGCTTGTCAAGAAGATTCAGATCGATCTTGACAGAAAAAGGGGTTTGCACGACAGTCAGATGAGCGAACTACATCAGCGTCAGATGGGTATACATTCCTTCTTCGTTTCAATATGAGCTTGGGAGAAGCTAATGTTCTTAGCCGATGAACGACAGAAATTGCTGGAATGGATCGGCGGCTCAACTAATCCATCGTCGAATCATAACCGGGCTATGGCTCAGAGAGAGCCAAAGACTGGTCTCTGGTTTCTGGAGTCAGACGATTTTAGCGGCTGGATCAAATCGCCGCGCTTGCTGTGGCTGCACGGAATTCGTAAGCATCTAGCCCAATACCCTCCTTCTTTGACTGGACTGCAGCGCTTATTTTGGGGTCATCTAGCTGGTTGTGGCAAAACAGTTCTCTGGTACACACGCCTTGTCGAAGACTTTCAGAGATTTTACATCCTCTGCTAACTTGAATCAACAGCTCAACGATCATCGAGGCTGTTAAAGAATTGTGTTCTGAGGGCACAGCTGGAAAGTTAGGCTACTTCTACTTCAACTTTCAGGATTTCCAAAATGATTCTCACAAGGAGGATCTGTTCATGTCCGCTCTACCTCGGTCGCTGCTCAGACAACTCTGTGCTAACGAGCCCACACTGCCGGATCCAGTCCAAGCAATATACACCCGGCACCACGGGACTGGATCAAACCCTACCCATGAGGAGCTAACGTCTGCCCTGGACGCTGTTATTGATCAGCTGGCCAAAGATGTATATATCATACTGGATGCGCTCGACGAATTTCCAGAGAATACAAACAACGCACAGAGGAAAAAATTGCTCAAATGGATCACCTTAATGGTCGATGGTCGTTTCCAGAACCTCCACATCCTGACAACAAGCCGAAAAGAGTGGGATATCGATGCGGCTTTAGGGAATCTGGCAAATGGGGGTCTTCCCATCCAGGGCCCTGCGGTCGACAGTGACATCCAAAGGTACATACGATCCTCTCTGGAGGAAGGTCCACTTAGCAGATGGCGGGACAAGATCAAGATCAGAGCTAGCATAGAGACGAGGCTCACAGAGGGGGCTAAGGGAATGTTCGTTCGAATTCCATAATCTTTGAATCCCGAAAAATGCCCCGACTAATTCTCAGCAGGTTTCGTTGGGTTGTCTGCCAGCTTGACATGCTGGGAGAGTGCACAACAGTCAAATCCGTCGGAAAAGCACTGGCCGAGTTGCTGGTGACTCTGGACGATACCTACGAGCGGATTCTGAACGCAATTCCGAGAAGGAACAAGGACGATGCTCGACCCATTCTTCAGTGGCTTGCATACTCGAAACGCCCTTTGACACTGGATGAGGTCGCAGAGGCTGCGGTTCTGAGACCTGGAGATGGCCCGATTGACGCGGATGAATTATGCGACCTTTCAGAAGTTTTGCGCATTTGCCGCAGTCTCGTTACGCTCGCAACCGAGGTTGTCTGTATCTGTGCGAATGATTCGGAGATTGAAGTGGTTAAGTTCGCCCATTTCTCCGTCCTTGAATACTTGACATCTAGACGGTCAGACTACTTCTCTGTTTCTGCCATGGAGGCCACAGCTACATCGGTGAATGCTGCATTTCGGTTCTCCTTCAGTTAGATCAGCCTTCACGATCAAATAAGGATGCAGACGAGGATATCCCCACAGGTATCGAAGACTATTCAGACGGAGGCCAAGGCGAAGACGCCGACTCAAGGCCAGTGGCCAATTACGCAGCGGAGTATTGGTACGAACATGTCTGCGAGGTTGAAAAGGTAAATGACAGACTTTCGAAATTTTCGGACAGCGCGTACCGGTTCCTCGGCGAAAATTCTCCTCGTTGCTTTTTGAAATGGCTCCAAATGTACAATCCTCAAGACCAAATTTCCGGATATCTTTGCAGACGTTATGATCAGGCTGCGTACTTCCCGCTGTGGTACTCGTCGCTGCTAGGAATTAGGCACGCCACCCGCCGCCTGATCGAGAGCGGAGCTGATGTCAACCAGCAGATTACAGGGTATGGTGGTGCACTTCATACTGCTGCGAAGAGGGGCCACTATGAGATTGCTCAGATTCTGCTTGAATCCGGAGCGGATGCCAACCGATGGAATGAAGATTATGGCACGCCATTGGAATGTGGCGTAGATGAACTACATCTGAGTATCTGCCAGCTGCTTATCGATCACGGGGCCGATGTGAATGCTGCCACCAGACATGAAAATGGCAGTGTCCTGCTGGTGGCCTTGGACCTCCTAGACCCGTCCACATTACATGGTGTCAACATCGTGCAGCTGCTGCTTACCCACGGCGCAAACGTCAATGCTCGGATGGCTAGAGGCTGGGCTAGAGAGTACACGGCTCTACATGTAGCCTCAGCAAAGGGTTTCCTCGGAATTGTCCAATCACTCCTTGATAAAGGGGCCGATATCAACGCCCCGGGTGGAGATGAGGTCGGTACTGCTCTACAGGAAGCCTCTAGACACGATCAGGTTGAGACTGTGCAGCTATTGCTCGAACACGGGGCGGATGTCAACGCTCCGGCTGGAGGAAAGGGCACTGCTCTGCAGGCGGCCTGCACGAGAGGATTCGTTCAAATGGTTCAGTTGTTGCTCACACACGGTGCGGATGTCAACGCGTGGACGGATGATTTGTTGCCTCCCAATCATTACGAAAGAGAAATGCCCAGCACCGCACTGCAGTGTGCGTTGGTGGATGACCGTGCGTATATCGTCGAGCTGTTGATTGAATGTGGCGCAGACATGAATGCGACAAATAAAAATGGCCGCACAGCGCTGGATTTGGCGAAGAAGTGGGGAAAGGAAGAATCAATCCGGGTATTGGTCGAGCACGGAGCGACAGAGACAGACGCAGTGGCAGACTCAGAGTCAGACTCAGGGTTGGCGTCGCGGTTCTAGAGTAAGGGGGTAGGTAGGACATATCACTACGAATCGAGCAGACGGATGGAGGATGGTGGGTTAGGTTAATTTGAATCATGAACAACAAGAAGAGGAAGATAAAATCAAGCATTGAGCATTGAGCATTGAGCATTGAACATCAAGCATCACTATTACTCTTCCCTCTTCGCTCTTCCCTCTTTCCTTAAAATTTCCATTGATTTCCTATTCGGGAAATGTCCCCCAAGACGCGCTGATCTTGATTGGCCGAAATACGTGAAGCCGACGCATATGATTGGCTACTTACATCCTTAATTGGTACAAGTTCAGCCTGCGACGAGAATGAGTACTCACAATATACGAGTACATGTGTGGGTAGATACAGAGGTGGGTACAGGTATTGCTACCTACCCTCCCATTTCTACTGGGCCATTCCACCCTGAAATATATCTTATCGACTTGTTTGTGGTTCTAGGGAGATGAAGAGGAGGAACCGAAGAAACGGAACTCTTCACGCTCGCACAACTCGCACGACCTGCACAGCTGTGTCTCTGACGACTCTCACGACTCTCACATCCAGTCCAGTCCAGTCCAGGCCAGGCCAGGCCAGATAGACCGACCGACCGACAGACAGACAGACAGACAGACAGACAGACAGACAGACAGACAGACAGATACACGTTACAGAGCATCAGGGAGTCAGGGAGTCAGGAAAGGTATTGAACCTAATCTATCCCTACAATAAGTATCTGTCCGTCTCCGAAATATAACATACCTGTCTTCTTCCTCTTCCTCCTGCTCCCCCTCCTATTAGGGCCAGTCAAGGTCAATTGTGACAGACGCAGTCGTCATGAAGAGCTACGTATGACAAGAGCTTACACGTAACTACCGTCCGAACAGAGAGATCACATCGCATACAACTCTGCCCACCAAATGCCAATTAATCGTATAGGATTTTTGTTCTAGAAAGGTATATACAATCTCGCATCTACCACTCACACCCTGTCAGTTTCTCAGCCCTTCAAGAGCCGGTCAACTCGCGCACCTCCGTCCACTGACGAAGGCATAATTAGTAGGTAGTGGTCGCGATTCACATCCTGATCGTCCTGGTTGACGAACCTATCACCCCGCGTCTATTTTCTGCCAGATTCCCGCTCCAATGTCGAAATGAACCAAACCGACTGGGTATCTCAAAATAAGTCAACGAGAGTCTCGAAGGTCCAAATGCCTGAGCCACCAAACAAAACGGACGAATCCTCCAACTTTTGGCATCAAAAGGCCCTTTCTCTGGCCCTGCCGGAGCCGATTGAGGTGCGAGTGCGGGAGAGGTGAACGATGATCTCCTCATAGAAGAAAGCAGTCAAACAAAAGAAAACTGCGGCAACCGCATCCACCTCAGAAAGCAACCCCCACACCTGGACTTCGCAGGGGCCCGCCAATTTCTTTGATGATGATCTCGTCGGCATCCTTGATGAGCTCGGCATAGCATGGCGGCACATCAGGGACACCACTGACAATGGGTCTTAATGTCCCGCCTCCCTTGGAGACACTCCTTACCGGGCCACTTCGACCTTGCCATTCCCCGGCTGTCATGGTGGTGACACTCGTTGCGTCTGTCTGACTTTGGTCACCATAGGAAAGAATGTCAGTGTCAATGGTGCTGGCGACAGTGGACTCAGTCATTGTCCTGTGATGCTGGCGTGGCCACAGGCTCAATGGTTTGGGTGGTGCTGCTGCTGGCGCAGAGAGTTGATAGAACTGAGTCCGCTTGCGGCGATGCTCCGCGAATGATGACGACGTCGAAGATGACTTAGTGGTACTGATTGAGGAAGAATGACTGCGGTGTGCGAGCCACTGAGAGATACGTTTCTGTGTCTGATAATTGGGATGGAAGTAACCCGAAGGCGAGTTCATGTCGGTTGGTTTGGAGAAGTTTCTGGCGGGTGCTGAAGGTACAATCGGAGGAGGTGCGGGCGCTTCGGGGGGAATGCGGTCATCTTGCGCTGCTGGAGCTTCGAGGTCTCGCGGAAAGTCGAGCACAGTATCACCGATGGCGACCGAGGTCGCAGGAGGGCTAAACTCCTCTTGCATGGGCGTCAGGATGGCCACAGATGCTTCGGAGCGAACACCAGGAAAGTGGATTTGTGGAGGTAGACCGGGGAAAGATGACCACGACACGGGGTGGGAGTGGAGAGCGTCGTACTCCGAAGGGGGCCGCGACATCGATATGACAGTCGACGAGGTATCGGGTCGTATATGAGACAGGCGGCGTTGTTCAATCATCGAGGCAGGTTTCGCAGGAGTAGGCAGTAGAGAAACCTTGTGTGGGAGGAACTCTTCTGACTTTGTCCGCACCAATGCTCGAGGAGGAGCTTTGATATCGCCGCCGTCGGTGAAACTGAGCCTATCGAAAGCTGGAAGGTCTGATAGTCGATTGTTGGGCATGTAGATGCTGAGCTCCAGTGGACGAAACTCGTGAGCCGCCCGTCGGAACGGAAGCTGCTGTGCCACAGGCAGTGGTGGCTGAGGACCAGAGATGATGGGTTTCGCAGCCTGTCTTCGCAATGACAGGCTCGATCTGAGGGAAGCTTTGCCATGAGAAACCCATTGCGATAACTGTGAAGGGAGCGGTGGTGTAGGAGTTGGAGGCAGTCCGTCAAACAAGGTGAGCTTCATGGGTGGAACCAGGTGAGGTTGTTGGTACATGATGCGCATTTCTCGCTCCACGCCTATAGATACGTCAATAAATCCCTCTCATGCTCGTGCTAGGAGAGAACCACGAACCAGAGGGAAGTGGCTGCTTCTCCAATTCTTTCTCATCGTTTCTCGTAAAGAAACAATCGAACAGCTCGAAATGGCATGTTGGCTCCAGCGAGTCCTCCGGCGCGACCTTGGACTTCATATTGGCGAAGACGGAGACGACGTCTCAACACACGGTGTTGCAAGCGACCGTTGCACGATTAGGGCTTGACCATTGACGGAGATGTCGACGATGCCAGCATCAGTGATGAATAGAGGCCAGGAACCAAAGGTCAAGGACAGAAGAGGACGAAAACAAGGAAGGCGTGATGCTTCCAAAGCTGCAGCTGCAGCCCGACAAACTACCACTCTTCCTTGGAGAAGAAAAGAGGTCGAGATGGCTGGCCAGAGGAAGAGGGATCTTTGAAGGCCATGAAACGAAGCTGTCGACCATGGCATGCTGCTGTGGGGGAACCGCAGTTCCCGCTAACACGAGCTCATTTTTTCTCCCTCCGTCTTCTTGACCTCCCTACCTCGTTCCGTTGCAGCGGAGCGGGTGGAGAGTGGCAGAGAGCCCTTCAATCACATTTCTTCATGGGCGCTTGTCCTGTGGTAGAGGGCAGGTGGAAAGGAGGCCTTGCGGCGAGATGAAGCTTGGAGTCGTGGCATTGGAATCAAGTTGGTTGGATGAGAGGATGCCAGCAGAGAGGGTCGCGCCAGGTCAGCAATTCTCCGAGAGGCCCCAGAGTTCAGCAAGCGCCCAGACCATGGCATAGCGCATTGAGTGTTGACAAAGGTGTAGATGAGTTGCTATTCGCAGGAACCCAAGTGTGAAGGAAGATGAGGTGGGCGGCTAGCTGGTTGGTGTGTGGCCAATCGCAAGCCTCAGCCTGCGGTCTCTACAGAAGAACTCGAACTCGCTTGGGAACAACACAAGATGAAACAATCGCACAATGGCACCAGAGGGAAGAGAACAACACTTTGGAGGCTGACATGGCTTGGTTTCAGAATCATCATGTTGGTGTTTGAAAGTGGTTCTCCAGCTCGTCTTGCTTCATATTATCGGCTGCTTCATCGACAGCCACAACCACATCTTGAGCTTCGGCGAGATTTAATACACGCCATCCATAGGTACGGGGTACTTGTACAGATAAACACACACATACGTGGCTCGCTCTCCACCAGCAATTCTGATTATTATCAACACAAGTCTCCACGCAGAAAGACAAGGAAGTCCCCAAATCTCATCTCCGTCCCCATTGCAATTTCAGTACCTCTCCATTACTCGGTGTCTGCCATCCATTGATCCATCCATCGTGAGTCTCTCCCTGTCTTCGCTATTGACATACCTCCTCTCTGGCTCCATTGGTCGGTATCGAGGTTGGTCTACAGGAACATATTCCGGTAGGACCGGCCGTCTATCATCCACAAAGACACTTCCTTCGCGGCCGACAGGACGCATGCTCTGTCCACGTGTCACGAGTCCCATCGGTTGGGGTTCTTCGTACCGTAGTGCCGGCGGTGGCCGCACGCTTCCCATCCGAATGGGCTCGCGGTATTCGGTCCGCTCATCAGCGTAAACGGCTTGTCGTGCTGGGCGATCCATCACCTGGACACTGGAGCTTCGTCTTGGTGGCGCCGACTCAATGTATTCTCGATGAGCGGGTCCAGGCACAGCGGACATTACAGGTTGCTCGGCGAGACGATGATATGAGACTGGTGGTGGGGCCATCTCGGTGGCATACGCTCTGTCCGGTGCTGCCTCGACGAAGACTGAGCCTGCACGGGCTTGTCGTGGATATTCTTCATACCGCGGCTCCGCTTCGGCACCACGAACTGACATTGCTCGAGGGACAACGGAGGGCCGCTCCTCAATGCGAAATTTCCTGCCGTACTGGTCGATGAGAATTCTTTCGACGGGAGGTGGTGGTGGCGCCATAGGCTCGACGGTGTAACGATGATAAGTGCCGTCACGATCGTCGTAGACATCCCGATAAACAGGTGCCGGTGTGCGTACCACTCTCACCTCCGGAGGAGGCTGATCATAATCGACGGCAACCTCGCGGAGAGGGCGGCCTGGTTCCATCAAGGCAGGACTTTCCACTCGAGCATAAGACATTGCACGTGTGCGCGTAGGCGTCTCGTAGTATTGGTCGACGTATTCTCGCGGTTGTTCAGCTCGCAGACTCTGCATACTTGCCACGCGACGCAAGTCCTGGTCGTCTCTAGCTGGTCTCACACTGGACCTGGACAACGGGCGAGGCTCACTCAAAGGCATCAATTGTTCAACCCGGCGTGGAAGTGGTCGCGAGGGAGATTCCACATACCGTTCAGGAGCGGGTATGTAACGCCCTTCTTGAACTGGTTCGTCATCAATGACAATGGGCCGATCCGCTCTGCTAGATCGGAACCTGCCCGAACCAAGTGGCTGGACGTCGTGGAAGGGTGGTGGGGACACGTCCTCCTCCTTGACATCGGGAGAAGTCAAGCCATTTTTTCGGGCCTTGCGTGCATTGCGAGCCTCCCGAGCCTCGAGCTTTCTCTTCTTCTTAGGGGGCAATGCTTGGTTATCATCAGGACTTGGGGGAGATCCTGGTCTGCCAATCCATTGTTTCCGGCGCGGACGTGCATTCTGTAATAGGGGAGAATCCTTAGTTATAGCCAGAGGCGAGACATGGGACGGTTGAGGGCAAATGGGAGAGGTGATATGGTTCCTTACTATCCGCATGTTGGCTTCCGAGGGCGAACCAGGCCTGACCCCACCGTCTTCCAGTTCCGAGTATCTGCGCAGGGGGCGACCGCGTGGATCTCTACTGTCCTGCATTTCCTGTGCTTGAGTGACCTTGGGAGTGGGGTATTGCACCATGGCTTCTGGGGGCGAATACTCTCCTTCCTCTTCATCCTCATCAATGCCCATCGCCGAAGTATCGATGGTCGCAACAGGCTTTGGAGGTTGGACGGTAGCAGGCGCAGGCGGCACAGCTTCGGCGGAGATGCCATCCGCAGCATCGGCGTACAGCGGCGCGCCCATGACGGCGCTAACGACGCGCGGCCCCGAGGGTTCATCTGCCTGCTCTTCATCAGCGTCCTCAACAGAGTCGCTGGGAGGTCTCTCGGGCGTCGAATCGGGGGCTTTGCTAGAATAGTAGGCATCTTCGTCGAAGGAGTCTGTAGCATCGGCATCTTCCTTGGAAGACGGGGACCTGACAGCACCCGTCACTCTGGCAAAAATGGCGGGTAGGTCAAAGTCCGGTTTCGCCTCGGCGGGCGCAGGTTTCTTGCGGGCATCTGCTTTTCTATGTTCAAATTGTTCTCTCAATGCTCGCTCAAGTCGTTGTCGCTTCAGCTGTGTCTCGGCCCGAACTAGATCATCCGACTTTGTCAAAAGGACAGGGTCAAATTCAGAAACATTACTGGTAGGTTGAGTGGCAGTCGCGACGGAAACACCGTTTGATTTGGTTTGAGCTTGGGTGTTCTCATCTTCACGCTTGGCCTGAGCAGCAGCCCCAAGATGGCTGGGAGATGCGCTTGGAGGAAACGGAGGAGGTACATTCAATTGGTTCTGAGAAAGGGTCGATGGGGTCTGAGAAGCAGGCACTCGGAGGGCATGGGCTGGCACTGTCAATCTAGGATGACTTCCAGAAAATACCTCGTCGCGAATCCTCAGTATCTTCTCATATTCCAAAGCCTCATTGACGGGTTGCAGAGAGGTCGGCAGAACGCCGTTCAGTAGAAGGCCAGTGGAAGCGGACATGCCTAAGGGGTGCGCGCGCGTCTGAGCTGCGCAGAGCTGACAGATGGATTCTACCTGGACAGACACATGGCAAGGATCAAGGAGCAACAACTGAGAGGGAGAAGGCGATGCTAGAAAACGTGTCAACAAGGAACAAACGAAGCCCCAACAAGGTAGCGGGATCACCTCTTGAGAGAGTGATGAGATTGCGGAAGAAAAGGAGGCGATCTCGTGCATCTCTCCCCCAGTTTTTTTGAGGACCGCAAACCCAGCCATCGCCAAGCATTGTATCACGTGTAATCTCACGGGTAAAATTCACGTGACCTCAGTTTTCAACTCGCCGCCAAACGCCGCTCATGAATCAACAACCAGTGCTGAGGAGTCATAGATTTCATCCATGCATATATCACAACTTCGGTGGCCGATTCCAACTACTCCATTTTGTTACGACACTGCATTCTTTGGGGTTTATAGATTTCTTGCTGTCTTGACGCCTCGCCATAGCACTGTATTGGTATCATAGATCTCCTTGCAATCACAGCCATGGGCTCAGTCCAAAATGAAACCGCAACCGCAACGGCCGATAAGCGGGCTATTTTCTTCTTCGACATCGACAATTGCCTCTATCCAAAGTCCAGAAAAGTTCATGATCACATGGCGCTCCTGATCAACAAGTACTTCGTGACACATCTCGACATGTCGGCCGAGGAGGCGACGTACCTACACCACAAATACTACAAAGACTACGGCTTAGCTATCGAGGGCCTGTCGCGCTTCCATAAGATTGATCCCCTAGATTTCAATCGAGAAGTCGATGACGCATTACCGCTGGATGAGCTCCTGTCGCCGCATCCTGAAACAAGAGCGATGCTGGAGTCTTTCGATAAGTCAAAAGTCAAACTGTGGCTCTTTACGAATGCGCATATTACCCACGGCACACGTGTCGTGAAATTACTGGGGATCGACGATCTTTTCGAGGGCATCACATACTGCGATTATTCTCAACAGCCACTCGTTCCCAAGCCACTTCCGGAGATGTTCACCAAGGCAGAGCGGGAAGCTGGCGCAACACCAGAGACCCCCATTTATTACGTGGACGACTCCTATCTGAATTGCCGAGCAGCATACGAGCGTGGATGGACCAATACCGTCCATCTGGTCGAGCCGGGCGTGCCCGATCCACCAGAAAAGGCGAGCAAGTATCAAATTAGCGATCTCTCGCAACTTCTGGATTTATTTCCCGAGCTTTTGAAGACCAGTAACGGTTCGGTTTAGGGAGAATGGATACTAGAATATGGTACAATTTTTCCCAAGATAAAAGAATACAATGTTATTCTCCCGCCTCAAGGCCCATCCCCGCTGAAAACAGGACAATGCTTGAACGCTAGACATATACAAGGAGATCTTCCCTCCCAGGGACATAATGGTCATCAAATCATGTCAAACAAAAGAAAAGAATAACCAGCGCTTGCCACTTAGGACGTGGGCAGCAGACGCCGCCTGCCAGACAGATCACTGGGGCAGAATTTCCAAGCTCCTGCATGCTTCTTTGCATGCCAATTCCTGATCACGGCCTCGATGACCCAAGGAACATCGGGGAATCCACACTTCTCTCCGTCGATAGTGAAGGACTTGTCCTGGCACCCCAGTGTCCAGGGGGCGTCGGTGTACAAGCTGTTGTCCTTGGTTGCCATATGCTCTGCGTGCTTCCAGATCTTCGTCAACTCCTTGCCATCCACAGTGTGAAGGCTTGCAAGGGTGGGGATCTCATCATGCAGATGCTGGATGAGATTGGGCGCAAATGACTCAATGATGTGACGAAGGGTGGATCCGTTGTACTCGGCTGGCTTTGTGATGAAAACATATTTCTGGAAGATTGTGAGTCCCTCGGCAAATGAGTTGTGACCCTTGGTGTTATCTTCCATTGCGCCGGGTTGGCCCAACAATTTTTCAATTGCCGGGAACATATAGTCGTCCTCGACATGATGATGGTGATTCAAGGTGTTGAAGAGCATTTGGTTGAAGAGAAGGAAATCAGCGGCTTCTTGGGTATCAGGTTGGACCAAGACTGCCTGGTTCCACGCTGCATTCAGAGCACGGATGATGGTGTTGTGGATCTGGGCCATTTGACGGGCACACCAGAAGGCTGGATGATCCTTTGGCACCGAAGCAGGAATGTTGTCCAGGTGGATGGTGACGATCAAGGGATAATGATCGTCCACATATCGAGGTACATGCATGCTCAGCTTTGGTATATCGCCTGTCGATACCGAGGTTTGTGACCCTGCCGAAGACGAGGCGGTGCGATTTGACCGGACAGAGTTGGAAGAGCGAAGAGATGAAGCTGAGGACTTTTCCATCTTGGAGACATAGAGCTGTCGCTCTGCCTCTGACAAGTAGAGAAGATGGGAATATCTTTTCTGTGTGGGCGATTTTGACCGGGAGCGAGTCGGCGAAGAAGTGGCTCGGGGAGTAGGCTCCCTTATGATGGGAACAGTCTGCATATCGTCGGGATGGAGTGTTGCCTGCTTTGGAGTCGACGTTGTTTGTCGATGTCTTGTCCTGTCCAGCCAGTGTTGTAGCACTTGATGCTAAAGGGCAGTCAGTTTCTTGTGAGAGGAAGATATGGTGCGGCTAGGACGCCCAGTCTCTTTATGTATCCCGCACCGTCCCGGACCCATGTCGATGACTTTACTAGCCGGAAACCCCATGTCAATGCAGCAACCGGACACTAGGATCTTTGAGACTACTCATTCTGGAAATGCACGGCTACATCGCGGTAAGAGCCAATGTAAGCGGCCAAGGGATCTCGAACCACGCCAACAAAGTCTGCAACCAAGGTCCTAGAGAACGCCATTGCAGGCTGTGTCTGGTCAAGGTGGCACCACCCAGCTAAGTTGCGAAGGTTGAAGGGCCCATTTCTCCTTGCCGTAATGGATGGTTGCAAAAGGACAAGCCTTACCTCCAGCGACGTGGGCCGGGAAGTTTGGAACTTTGTTGGTTGGCTGACTGGCTCAGCTGAATGTCGTGATGCAAGTAGAGAGTTCCGAGCCCCTTGCATCTCGCATTGGGTTTGGCGCCAGGTACGGTTGCAAGGGCAACTTTCAAATACGGGTTTCGACACGAGAACGAGACCCAAGAACGTCCAGGCCACTTCGCTAGCCGGGCCAGGGTACCACGTGTTGCCGGGTGTCCCTTTTGCAATTGCATTGCTGAGTCTTGCAATCACAGAGATCACAGGGGTGTTCCAGTCCAAATTTGATGGCTTGTCAAGTAGTTTCCCGAAGTTGTACGTCAAGGGCTCATGCCTTGTCTGGCAATCACCTACGTACCTGGCTCACTGGGGACATCCCAACCAGGTGGTCGGCAATTAGTCTTCGGCTGCGCGTGTAGACGGTCCCAAATTTCAGCCCACTTTTGACAATTTGGCGTGATCATGAGACCCCAAGAGGCCAAGTCGAAGCTGATCAGGCACACTTGGGCTAAGTCTACCCAAGCAGGTAAGGTGCGTACAAAATTGGATGAACCGCGGGGCTTGGTCACTGTTCTTCGCGTCATTCAGTACTCGAATACGAGGTATGATCGGGCGATCCGAGGTGCAGAGGGTCGCTCTCGGAGACCACGATGCGAGAGGGTTGGAGCAACCCCTGGGAGTGACACTCGCGATGCGAGTGTGCGCAGGTTTCTGGGGTCAGTGGACAACGTCTCTTTCTCATGCTCTGAAAAGGTGATGCAGCAATTCTCTTAGGCTGGAGAAGGTGACGAGCAGGTCTCCGCTCTTCCGCTCAGGTCGAACATGCCCTGTCGAACTTTGATGAGCGGGGGGTTGTGGTGTGTCGAGGTGGGCACTGCTGAGCGGCCACAAGCCTGGTGGCTTTCACTGCCTGTTGACTTATCGAATGGCTGGCTGACTTTGGGTTACACAATTGTCCTCCTGAACCAGCGAACCTTCGTCTTCGGCTGGATCTAGATTTCCATCTCTTGTCTGCGCTGAAAGTCTGCCACATGTCGCCTCTAACCTGACACCGTCTTTCAGAGGTTCGTGTATTTTTGCTCGAAGAGGCTCGCATCGCATCTAGGCATCTGGCATGTCTGGTGATCAAAGGCTGAAACACAAAGAACGACGTTTGGCACCATGTTTCGTAAAGCTGACGATATGACTGTGGTGACTAGATTGTGTAATAATTAAATGAGTGTGATCGCCCAAAGTGGAACATACAGTTGCGTACCTTGCAGAGGCCGACGGCCTTGACGCTGATCTTGTTCGAGGAACAGGGAAGGTACCAAAGGCAAATTCCGGGGGTGGGAATAGGCACCCACTACTTGGTACACTGGCCTTAGGGCTGCCCATTTTTGATCAACGACTATTGCAGTCCCAGACTGACCGCCTAAGCGGACGCCCGCTACTCATCCACTGTAGCCTGCAAGCACTTTGATCAGCCAGCAAATTCATCCTTCCCGACGGAAACGGCAGGGACCGTTCTTTGAGATCAGCACCTTGGTCGTCGTCATCACCATCATCATCCATCATCAGCACCAGCAGAAGTCACTATCACTATCGCCATCTCACTCAGATCATGTCCATCGTCTCCATAAATCAATCAGAGATCGATACTCCAGTCCTTACCGAGGATGAGGGACGGATTTGAGAGCCTACGAGTTACACAGAGCCACCCGACCATCATTTCCGATCAATGCGTATCCCAGGGGGATTGTTCTCCAAAGGGGTCTTCTCGCCCCTGCCAGGGGATGTGGTGCTTCCTCGTCCTCCTAATGCCTTCGATACTCGCTCGTACGAATTTTTCAAGCCCTCCGAACACATTTTGGCCACTGTTCCCTCTCTTCCCCGCGGAAGTGGATTTCGATCCAGAATTGCTTCTTGCGAACCCCACGAAACCAGCCTTCATCTGCTCCCAGGTGACTTAGCGGGCCGTCTCCTGAATCAAGAATGCTCTCGGCTGGATGCCGAGCACAACTAGTCCAAGAGCGATTAGGATGGGTGCTTTCCACAGAGGCTCCAAGATACCCAATCTGGACCGCAACGAACCAGTCGGCCCGTATCTGGTGCTGTGACTTTGACGCCTTGTCCCCTTCAATGCCGAAAGGGGAGAAGCGACAGTTCTGGAACAAAGTATAACAAGTTCTAGTCCCAGTATGGGCGAGGACGGCACAGCACAGTTACCCGAAAAGTATATAGGGAACTCAAACATCATGCCGCCGCGGACAAGAACATCTGTCTCAAAACTCGAGCAATAAAGATCCATTGATCATCGCGATCTACATATTGCTTTGAAAGGTTGTCACCCTCCTTTACAACTCGCGTGGTTGCTAACAGAGAATCAAGGCCATGCACAACTCAACTGAATGTTGTTGCCCAAAGCATCCGGCTCAATCAGGTAGTCATTACCAGCCGAGTGTGGCATGTCAACCGTGCCCCTGAACGCTTTGGATATCCAGCCAGTCTTGCACACTCTTGCCACCAGATTTGAGGATCAGAGCTCGACCCGTGCATGTTTCAAACACCTCAACGGTTTGGACGAATGTTGAGATGTAGTCTGGACTCTGTCGACTGCTGTTCGAGGGAGGATCTATTTGTAAGGGACATTTGAGCCAACATTGCCTAGCCAGTCGATTTCCGCCGACAAACGCATACTCTTCCGCTCCTCGCAGAGCCCAGTTCTGCATTCCTTTTGACCGCCAACCTATTCGTTCGGCCTTTACTAAAGGTTTAAACATTTCCGCTTTCCATGAGAACCTGGAAACAGCCTTCTTCTGACCGAGAGAATGGGCAGATCATCGTTGCGCAGACGTTTTCAACGAGTCGTCCGAGCCACATGGAATACACGCACTGTTGTGAGGGGGCATCGGACGATTCGGTGCGCACCTGGATTGTAAACTTTGGGAGATCCTCACCCCTTTGTTGTGCAGTCTCCAGCGGCGACTGGCAGAACACGTGTGTTTATGATATAGGCTTTGTGAATTTGCCTTCTCACATGTTCAAACCATATGCAGGTATTCCGGGCAGATGGTCCAGAGCTAAGCATCCCACTTACACTTTGCAGTGACAAATGTTTTGGTTGAGTCCACGGACTCCAAGAACGTTTTTGCACTCCTGTTTTGACTGTCTGGTCCAATGCGCTCCTCCTGTTAGGAGCCCCATTCGCAGGGCGATGAGACCTTCAACGGCGCCAGAAGTGTCCCCGTTTGGCCTCATGTTTGACGTTTCGCCCTACGCCGACTGTAAGAGCGTACACCGAAGAGGTAAGAATATCCAAATCGTCACATGAACATTCCAGCCGTGGTCACGGCAGCTTTCACTGCTGAAGTTAATGCCACCGTGAGCCGAGGGGAGTGGTAAACAGCAGTAATGCCATGCCGGCTTGATTTGTTTTCCCTCCATTTGGTATCATATCTCACGGTGTCCCCATGGCTCTGTTAGACATCTGCTCAACAAACATTGCACGCCTGTCGTCACATGCACATCCCTCCTCTGGGACTGGATATTTGACAGTGAACGATGGGAGAGAGGTAAGACCAATACCAATTCTGTCGGATCTGCATCATCGGATGACCACCAGGTAGGTTTGCATGCGTAATACGAGTACTGCTGACCTAGGATTTGCTGTGGCGTGAGGATGCCCAATGTTGTCTGAGGAGGTACTCGAACATTCCCTCTTCGTCCTCGAAGTAAACTGGGCCGACCGGCGGAGCAGGCTCCTGTGCCTGAATATCGGATACTGTGACGGCCCCTTCGAGGACTCCCTCGATCCGCACTTTCCATGACTCCAGATCAATGGTATACTTCTATGGCCACACACCAGTTAGTTCAGCAAAGCAAGTGGGATTTGGACATTAAAAGGAAGAAATAGGAAAGAAATGATATAGGTCTGGTCCCCTTACCGAGTGAATGGTACTGTCAGCGTTATCGGCGTGCCGCAGCCACAAGCCCCCTTCCAGCAAGATTCTCCTCTCACACCTTCCAGCCCTCAACATCTCCTTGATATAGAGATGGTCGAAACGATAGCCCGTCAACAACGTCTTGATGGGATCGAGCTTGACCTTGTCGAGGAGCTCCTGCGTCAGTCCCGGTCCGTCAAAGACGAGGTCGTTGTTATTTCCAGGCCTCGTCCTGCCCATCTTCCGAATCGTCATGGTCTGCACCTGTGCCATCTTCGCAAAGACTTTGTCCAGCCAGTCCGAGTTGAAGCAGTGGCTCTCCAGGATGACGACGTGGCGCATGGCCTCGTACGCCTTGGGAGAGACCATCTGTGGCGGAGGAGGATCTCCCGGGTGTCCTGTAAAGTCGAATGTGGCTCTCGGGAGGAGGTAGGGCGTCACCTCTGTGTTCCATTGTCTGCACACCGCCAAGGACGCGAATGCCGGAGAGGGGTTCGACTCGTTCATCTGTATCCGCATCTGCGTCGTCGAGTCGGGGCGCTGGAGCGGTTTAAAGACGAGTGTCCCGTACGCGAACTCGTATACCCTGTTGCGGATTTCTGGTGGGAGCTGGAACCACGACCACGACGACGACGCCATCTTTTGTTTGGTCTTGCGACGTGGTGCTTGAGCACAGTGGCTACCGGAGGGTGCCTGTTGATCTTCTTTAAGCAAAACCTCTCGTAAGAACCACGAGCGGAGCTGGTTTGATTTGATTCGGCAAGGCCAGCAAGCAAGGAGAATGGAAGGGAATTTGAACAAGGATGCCCTTACGCTCGCTGTACCGAGGATATGCGTACATGAGCAGAGAGACTTACGACTCTTTCCAACAACTCAGATCCTTATAGCGCTTACAAGGGGAGGCGATAGGGGAGGCGAAGACAGGATGAGCTTCTCTCCAGAATAAATAACACCGTTTCGCTTCACTACGCTTAACTCGACATGACATGACATGGGAGGACAATGCTATCTGACCTATCCTGTTGTTATCGTGTATCCGGTTCCCCGCAACATAGTGCTGGCCAAGGAAGAACCTCCTCCCTCCTCCTCTTCCTCTTCTTCTTCATCCGTGATCCTCTGTACCCTCCCGGTGATAACGGCATCAAGCTTCTCACAAGTTTGGTCAAGTCTGATCCTGTCAAGTCCAATCAAGTCAAGTAAAATCAAGTCCATGCCAGATGAGGCTACCCCAGAGCGCGGCGCGCGATACGCGCGATATGCACAATGACCTTAGGCCATCTATCCGTAGGTCTTGTGGGTTCTGTAGATGTCAGCCTCAGCCTCAGCGTCATCTCTGACAAAGCGAGTGGTAGTCGTGAACAACGACAGGACGGCAGTAGCACTAGCAGCAGCAGCAGCAGCAGCAGCAGCGGTGGCACAAGTGCAGGAAGGATATCCGGCAAGATGGCTGATGCTGATGTCCATACCCACGAACGTGTAAAGAGCTGTAGAAGCAACGAGGAAGTACGAGGGAAGAATTCTTGTACTCGATCCTCCCCTAGGATCGAATGTACAAGTATGTGCCTCGTACTCGGTACATATGTATTCGATATGTGTGTAAATAGTCCACTATCTTGAGCGAGGACTCCCCTTGCCCGCTACAACGGCAATAAAGCACCTGTAAAGGCGCCCATACCTGTAATCGAGTGTCTCATACTGGGGTAAGGTATTACCGTTCCATCTACATACCTGCAAATGGGAATGGGAATGGGTGAAGCCAAGAGGCCAGCTTGCCAGCTGGCTCTTATGTACCTTGTAAGATGCTCGATGTGGTCAAGTGATTACATGTACCTCGTACATGTCCATGTCCCATCTCCCGCGTCCGTGCCTCTCAAGCTTCGAATCCGGAACACGGAAAACAACGCACGAATCCTCGCTTACGAGTCCAAGTACGAATCTCAGTGAGTAACTTCGGTAAGAATGGAGGAAGCGAAGGAATCGTCCCGCTTCCACGTTGGATGGCTTCTCCGTCCTTTTCCGTGTGTATCGGTGGACTTGGACGTGTATACATGTACATGTATCTATACCTGTCCCTGTCGTCCAGAAGGAAGGAAGGAAGGACGGAATGTGTGGGGAAAAGAGAGAGAGAAACAGGGAACTTTTTGTGGGTTCGGTGGAGTGGTGAGATGCATTTCGAGTAGAAGCAGTGCGCGCGCGCGCACAGTGCGTCGCGATGAGGATTTACTACCTGCATAGATACTGCACAGGGACAAGTATCAAGTACATGTATATATACAAATATGGAAGAGCGTCGTGGAATGCCGGCCTAGAACCCAGGACTTGGAGTAAATATAAACATGACATGTTAAGAGCACGGCGGGATGTTGACACCGATGGTAAGAGATAAGGGATGGCGAAATGGAGCAGGGTGACCAGGTAGGATCGATAGCTCCGTATTAAAAAGAAAAAGAAAGACTCTACAGCACTCTCTCTTTCTCTTGTCGGACAATGCATCACCATATCTGGGGAAGACCAGTTCTATAAACGTCCAGTATGTATGTATGTACTGTACGTCGTTGTATCATGCCTGGTGCAGAAGATGATCTACCTGTATTCGCCCTTGCATCACCGATCAAGAACCCCTATCTATGTGGATATATAGACAGGTGAGAGTTCCTCGATCATCGTCATTCCTTGATGCATCATCACTCGGGCTGAAGTATGAGTACCTTGTATATAGATAGATGACTGCGCAAAGGGACTGTCCTCTCATGCTTCTCGCCTCGCATGTCTCCGAGTCCGTGCCTCAAGGCCTTGGTGCGTCCATTCGCCTATGAAAGCCCTTCCCGTGTGTCTCTATTCCACCATGCTGTCCACCAAGTCCTGAAAGACATCCACACCGCTCGGAAACCAGCCTGTGTCGCAGAATGTTGCCGGAATTTCGTCGACTGGTCTAGAGTGCCATCCTCACCGCTCCAATCTGTCCTCATCAAACACGTATAACTAACGAAGAGCCATGTCCCCATTGGTGTCTTCAAGACAATCCGCCCTTCCACGTAACTCTCGCTTAGGGTGTTCAACCCTCGCACCTGATGGGTTGTAGTTTCGACTCTGACTTGACGTCTCCATGCTGGTTGGACAAGGATACCACCAGCGATGTTACTCTGGCGATCCGAGTTGCTCTGCTGAGAGTATGACAGAAAGTCCAAGACGCGTGCACGCGGATACAAGGTCGAGTCAGACCATGGCTTGATGGCTCAATAGGATAAGGCAGTGATCCGTGAGCACTCCAAAGTTGGTGCTTGGTCAACAACGTAACCTCAAACCTCCTCCAACTCCTTGAGCCGTGCCTCCCACGCGTCCACTCCCCTGAGCAGCATCTCCAGCTCCTCCTTTTCGTCTTCCAGCTTGATCCTCCTCTCCGCGTCCAGCGGACAAAACACGTACCCACCCTGTCCATCAAATTGCAAGATCATGCTGTGGTACTTCCACAAACTTCGTCGATGACTCACTGTCATTAGTGTCGTGCCGAGCCCTTTGGCTGTCTCATACATCTTCCGTTCCATCTCCAAAGTTACCGAGCTAGTGCATTCGTCCAGGATGGCGTACTTGGGCTTGTGGTAGAACAGGCGAGCCATGGCAATCCGCTGTTGCAAACCTCCAGAGAAGACGTCGCGCCATTCTTCCACGGCGTCCCACCCATTAGGTCGATTGATGATGGCCTCGATCTCCAAGATCGCGAGAATCTGCCTCAGTTGCTCCTCCGAGCCATTCTTGGCCCGAAACTCCCGCAGGGTGTCCGGGTAAATGATTTGATCTCTCAGTGTGCCTCGACTCAGGTACGGACGTTGAGGAATGTAAAATATATCCTCGAATCTGGGTTTCTTTACAGACCCGCCATAGACGGGCCAAAGCCCACCAAGGATCCTGAAAAGGGAGGACTTGCCACAACCGTTGGGACCAACAATCAACAGGTGATCCCCCGGTTTGATCGCAAATGTCAACTTCTTCACCAGAACATCGCCGTTGGGACTCACGATGGGGACGTCGGTGAATTCGATATTTTCGCTCTCTTCAATTGTCCCTCGCCCCCTGAGCACCGCAGCGTTTTCTTCCGTCGAAGCTGAGCTGACCAGTTTCTTCTCGAATCGGCCGGCCGAGACTTCGTCCATGACATCCAGCAGCCCCGCAACACGAGATGTATAGCCTGCGAGTTCTGTTATTTCCTTGTAAGAGAACATGATGCGGCCGAAGGCGTCAGAACTGCTCAGCAACATGCGCCGGTTCGTGACAAAAGATTCCGTGTGGTCGCCCCTCGATTCTCCCGGAGTGAGGTTCTGCCCTGGGATCTTGAAGAAGACGGGCAATGAGCAAAGAAGCAGGCCGAGAGCACCCCAGAAGTATTTGATGACAAAGTCTTCCATGAAGCCGTGATAGAACCGTCTCCTCAGAATTCGATTGACATGTTTGATCAATGTGAAATAGCCCTTGTCCAGACCGTCTTTTTCAGCCTCATGGCCGGCATATAATGCAATCTCTTCGCTGTAATCGATCAATCTCGTATGTTGGAACCGGAACTCCCCCTCTAGCCGCGCCTCATCGGCGACGTATTTTCCGAACGGAGGTGTCAAGGCGCGCATGACGTTGGCGGATATCTGTACAAGTAGGGCCATAGCGAAGAGGCCTTCTCCACCAACAGACTTTGAGAGGGAGTAATTGTAAATGACCATGTCGAGAATGGGTTTTGCGAGGTTCGAGTAGAGTTCAGCGAGGGAGTTGGAGAAGCGAGACACGTCGACGGTTATGAGTTGGTCAGCGTTCTTTATTCGATCGTCGAGTGCCGAGAGCGTGTAAAAGGTCATGTTGTTAAGATACTTTTCGTGGATGTATTGTGTGAGCCTTGTCCTATAGGCCAAAGCAAGGCGCGTCTGATGGTACTGCAGCATCGAGTTCGTAAAGGTTGCGGGCACGGCCACGAGCATCCACCACACAAGACCCAACACGAACTCTCGCCCTTTGCCCCGGACCAGTGCCGATACGACTTTGCCGTCAAGTTCGGCCACGTAGAGGGACAGCAGGGTGCGGATGACGAGAAAGACGCTGTGCGAGACGATCAGTCTCAGCTCTTTGCTTCTCCAGCCGGGGATCACGATCTTCAGGAGCCGCAGGAGATTGCGGAAGAACTCTCTGTTGATTTCGACTCTTTTCTTTCTATGTTCCTCCTGTTGTCTTTCGTTCTTCACATCTCCGCCTTCCGGTGACAGGTGGGAGTGGCGAGTCCGCTCTCGCTGAATCTCGACCTGCCTCCTCGCTGCGGCCTTTTGCTCTGAGATAGCATTGTGGACTCGATGGATCAGTGCGACGACTAGGGTGATGTAGACGGTTCGGGAGATATTCGTGCGGTTTTTGAGGTAAAGCGACGTCAACTGCGAGATGATTTGCTTGACACTCCGGCCTGGGGGAAGCAGCTTAGACTGAACCGCCATTGTGCCGGCGGTGGGCGAGTCTGTCGAGGGATAGAAGGGAGCAAAGGTGGTAAAGAGAACCAAAGGGGCCCTGTCACCACATCGTCATGACCAAGATTGAGGCAGACGCCTGGAGTTGATATTCCGATCCAGTTCTGTTCACATGCTCCATGTAAGTGCAGAGTGCGGCGAGGCGGGAAGCGTCCGGTGTTTGCTGTCCACATTATTCATTGGAGGGGGGCGCATCAAGCCTCGGTCGATTCATGCATGTGCTAATAATCGATCCCTACACATCGCTTACAAGAACATGACGTATTGGATTTGAGCAGACGGAATATCAATATAGCATGGATATTACTTACTATCAATACCCATAGCTCCGTACATTGGACTACAACATCTCGTCGCTCGTGTCTCATGGCGTGTGCAACTGCAACTGTCGCAAACCTCCTTTCCAAGGCTAAATTATTCTGCCAGTCACGCCCATTTTTAGGCTCAAAATCCGTCCAGCAAGTCTCTCAGTGTGATCGGTTTCCGAACGGCATTTGAGAAGCCCTCGTGAAATGAAACCCACACTCGGCTTTCTTTAGTCCCTAGCTTTCCTGGCTGTTCCCTTACGCCTTTACCGGCTGATGTAGGCCGGCTCTCGTTGATGATCCGACCAAAGAAGTCGCGCTTGATTCCAAGGTCCTTCGACGACGCTCCCCTCGCCTTGTCCGCTGGGCTTTCATTTTCCTTGTCCGCTTCTTCATCAGTGTTTCCGTTAAGGCCCGATATGGTGGAGCGAGCGTGTCGGGCAACTGAGTTTTGCAATAGTCTCTCTTTCCTGAGCTCTTGTTCAAGCACCTGTCTAACTGCATATCGGACTGGTGCCGTGGCCGAACTTGACTTATCCATGTGATAACTTAGTAGCGTATCGAGAGGTCTGTCATTTTGTGTTAGCAAGAGGCTGATTCGATGGGAAGACAACTTACGGTTCCATCCGATATGCATAGCCGCCGTTCGAGTGAGCACCGCCGCCCTCAATTTCCACTCGGACCTTTTCGAATGAAACATCCAGAGCCAACATGGTTCGAACTGCGTTGCGGATACAGTTCTTCTCAGACTCCTTCCGCACGCTGGCGACGCTGGCGGAGCTCCCAGAACCTCCGATCACGACAGGCTTCACATCTGGCGCGAACATCTTACCCACATTCGGTATCAGCTCTGTCGCAATATCGTCCACGGAGCTGAACAATCTCAACAACGACCCTGAGAAATTCGACTGTAGCTCAGTGAGCAAGGTACGATTCTGCTTTTCCGCCTCATAAGCGGCAAAGTCTGCTTTCAGGCCACTGAACGGGTGGACATCCTTGACCTCTTCCTCTGGCATTTCTTCATTCCAGGCCACTGTACCTTTGTCGACGGTGGCGAAGAGATGGTGAAACCCACAGGCACTGGTGTTAAGGTAAGGCGTTAATTCCCACTCTTGTCCTGAGAACACTCGACTCGACAAGCAATCGTGGAAGTGAAGCCACTCGTAACTTGCGTTTGGTTTGGACAGTTGTACATCGTCCTGGAATACCTGGGTCGGATACGTGGCAAAGCATTCAGTAATGACCCGGTCATGCTCCCCACAGGTGTCAACCATCTCCCGGAGGGCGGTGATTGCTGCTCGCTTGCGAAGATTCGCGACTCCAACGGGATTACTTTTCGAATCTGCAACTAGTCTCGCGTCGTCCGCAGTTAGAGTAGCTGGAAGGTTGGGCAAGCCGGCTCCTTCCAAAAATATCCGCTCAACAACCTCTCGGATACCGCCTCGTCCAAGGCCTTTCTGTCCCGTTCGAGCTTCTTCAAGCTGGGGCTCGAGCCACTGCCTCGTGAGGCGGGGTTTGTTTTCGTTGGCGCGCAATTTGTGTGCGATCCATTCGGCTTGTACGAGCACGCTCCTGATATCGCCTTCTCCGGATCCCCGAGAGCCTGGCCCTCTCTGCTTTCGCATTGCCAGACCCCAAGCATTTTCGCAAAGCCGACGAACGGCATCATTATCACAAGCAATGCATTCCCTCTCGAAGACAGACTTGACTCGAGCGATGACCTTGTCCAACGGTGCCTTCCGAACATGGACGATTTCAGCGATGGAGCTCGTCCGCAATGGTCGAAGCGAAGGTGCATAGACGTCGTTGCATACCAGGATCAACGGTCGGAGCATTCTGAACTTGTCGCCCTTCGTTCTACCCTTTGGAGCTTCCTGGTTTCCCTTGCCCATAGAGTTTCTCTGATCGAGTTGTACAAGGTCGATCAACGCTTTGACAAATCCGCCCTCACCACCGCTTGCACTAGAACCGGTAGTGACGCCATCGACTTCATCGACAACGACGCAGACAGGGCGCCCGGCTTTTCTAGCTTTGCCCTGTTCTTTAATCCCACGGACCGTCTCCGTTCCAAGGGCATCCTTGATTCTGCCTTTGACCACGTCACGGCTTCTGTCGTCACTGGCGTTGATTTCGAGCACCTCATATCCTGCTTGCCTGGCGCAGACATGAGCCAGTGTGGTCTTCCCGAGTCCAGGTGGGCCAGTCAGAAGCAGGATCTTTCGGTGTTGCTGGCTTGTGTCATTGTCGTCAAAGGCTCTCATTGATTTCAATTTTGCACTTCCCGGGAAGACCACTTCATCCCACCCTTTGAGCCATCGAAGGACCTGTCGATGGGTTCTCTCATCACCCACAAGCTCGGTGAATTTCTTTGCGCGGTATTTCTCCGTCCACATCTGATGTAACATTGCGTTTGAGCCTGCTGATTTAGCATTTGTGGGCGAAGTCGTGGCTGGCTGTTGCTTCTTCCTCTGCTTCTCAAACTCATCAAGCTGCTGCAGCGTCTTAGCATCATCCATAAGCTTGTGGATTTCAATGCCATAGTAGGCCTTTTTGGCACGGCCTTCAGCGGTGACTGAACGTTGCGCAATGGTCTTCTCGTATGACAAAGCTTCGGCCTTTTGTCGGATGGGAATATTCAATGCAGCGCCAGAAGATGTTTGCAGGGTTACACCTCCGTGTTGCCGCTTTCTGAGTAATGGGCGAGGGAGAGGAGGTAGATCTGGACTAGGCGAAGTACGCAGGCTTGTTGTATTTTGTGATATGCCACTTGCACCTCCGAGGCTTGTGAGATCTTTTGGTGGAGGAAGGACTGGGACTGTTTCTGTCCGCAACCGTAGGTCATTATCCTTGGGCCTGCTTTCAGCGTTGTGCTCTTCCTCATCTTCGTCGTCCTCCGCTACAAAGCCGCCAACCATCCTGGTCCTCTTGGATTGCTGTTCAGCGGGAAACGGTTGGAAGAGTCGGCGCTTCTTTTTGTTCGCCGGAACAGGGAGAGGGGAGGAACTGGGCGCATAGTATATGGGGGACGACGAGAAGACCATTGTGTCCGATGTGAGGCTATATTCGGATCCTGAAGAGCACAACAACCCATCAGATTTGTTCAAGGTTGCATGTGTAGAACTATTCGAGTCGGGCTTGTCGTCGAGGTTGCAGAGGTAAATGCTTTCGATGTCAGTCTGGTTCGGAGACGACGGGATGATGTCGAGGCTTGTGGTGTGTCTAGAAGTGCTGTCTTTGTTGCTCAGATCTTCTATTTCACAGTCGTCACGTAACAACAGCATTTTCTTCCGGTCTTGGATCCGAGTTGCAAAATAAATGGTTAACAGTGTCAACTCTAGTTGTTCACACGCGCGACGCGCTTCTCCAACTGCAACGCGTAACGGGAGGCGGCGGGACCCTGCAGCTCAACTCCGGAAGTGGTCAGGCTTTCGTCATACAACGCACCATCCATTATTATTTGTCTGACCAAACTAATTCCTTTAGACGATGTGTCACTAGGCGAAACTTTGGGTGTTTGGGGCAGAACTCGGCAGTGAAGAGGGGAAAATTCCATTGTCAGACATGTCGGCGTTTTTTTACCTCTCAAATCTCGGGTTCTTCAGCAGTGCAGCGCAGTTGTGATATCTACAATACCCTTTGCTACATTCCATCGAGTATTAATAACTAAAACAATGTCGCATGGGGCATGTTTCCGGTCGCTTCGATCCATTTGTCTCAGAGACGCCTATAAAACCCGCCTTGCGCACCAATGCGACCCCCCAGCCGCCGAATACACTTGATCGCATTTATTCGACGTACCGCTACCGGTCGCCGCAGGCTGAGATGCCCGGAGAGAACATAGGAGATATCTCCGCGAAGAAGTTTGCGGAGTAAGTGGGAATCCATAATGAAGCGTCGATATATCAGACACCGGTCTAACTCTGAGTGATAAGATTGCGCTGACCTATGCGTGCGAGAAAAAGGTTGTTATCCGGCCCATTGCTGGACGTCTTCGTCGGGCCTGAGCGCCGCCGTTGGTCTCTACACCAAAATCTTCTGGTCCATCATGCGCGCTTCTTTGACGAGTCCTTCATAGTCAACGGTGAGCACAAGCGCATCAATGACGGCAAACTGGAGCTCCGAGACGAGGACCCCAACGCATTTGAACTGCTTGTGAAATGGCTGTACCAGGGCAAGATTGATGATGTCTCTTGGATGCCCAAAGACGTCAAGTGGGACTATGCATTCACATGCCAGAAACTTTATCTCCTCTGCGACACGATAGGGCTGCAAGAACTCAAAAACCAAGCCATCGACCAATTTCGGCGAGGATGTCACGAAGCAGGACTCGTCCCCGGTCCGGAAGAGATGAAGCCCATCTATGAGAAAACCCCTCCAGATTCTCCATTCCGCAAACTCGTGAGCAAGATCGCTGCAAGACAGATCATGGACCCCAGTTCGGAGAAAGATGCAACCAGTTACAGGGAGTGCTTTGCCATCAGCCCTGACTTTGCCGTCGACGTCATCAACGCGATCAAGGAGGGAAGTGGTGGGTTATTGTTTGACGATCCAACAGAGGGTAACGGGTGTCGATATCACGAACACGAGGACGGCGAGAGCTGCCACAAGACGGTCAAATTTAAGGATTTTTCCTGAGAGGGAGTACCACCGCAAGAAACGAAAAGAGATCAAGATGTCTAGTCGAGGAGTAATGGAGCGCTTCCCACAGGAGTAGATGGCGTGTCCATTGCAACAAGCAGACCTCTGTGTCCTATACGGGGCCCATGTCCACATGTCTCCAGAAGCGGGTATTTGTGGTTTTACTACCTCGGCGGAATATTGGAGGGCCAATATAAATCGGTAAGAGGTCCACCATCACAACTGAGATAAGCGCAGAGTAATTTGATGGGGATGCCGGTCCGTTACCTTCGTCGCCTCGCCTGTTGGAATCGATATCATTGGGAACAACTATTGTTCGGTATTGTCGAAGGAGATCCTATCGTGCTGTCCTCCGGATCCATATCTTGATCAAGCCAAGTAGCTTGCTCTCGGCGTTTTGTGTAATCATAGGGACATTGGAGATGATAGAAACAATGGAAATGATTGAAAGTGCCTCTCGTATTTGTGTCCTTGAAGTGTAGGAATTTCCACACACCGCCTTCCGAACGCATTGGAGAAAGTCAGCCAATTTCTTGATTGAGAAATTCCTAACACTAACACTACAGCACCAGCAGCCATGCGCTTCTGCATTCTTTCCCTGGTGAAATTCATTTCAATCTTGCGTGAAGACGAGTCACATATCGTAGAAATCGGCTCGGATTAACTATCTACCATTGAAACACGTGATCTGCTAGCTTGGCAGTGGATCGCAGTTCGTTCGCCGCAAACTTGGTCGTGTTGTTCGCGGCGCAGTTCGCGACAGGGTTTCAATTTCCAGCCAAAAACATCAAAACGCACCCCCCGGAGTGATGTGCTCAGCCCACCTTAGAGTCCTAGGCGCTTGAAGTGGTCGAGATAGACTCCGTGCACCTTTTGGCACATACCGGAAGTTCGCGCAAAGCCCTGGAGGACTGCGAGGGCTTAGGTGGTGGATTAATTATCTCATCAGTTTCATGATACCACAATGGCCGATTCACAACAGCCCGCCGAGTTGAAGCATGAGTCTTCAGACGCTGTCGACCTTGGCGCAAATGATGTCGAAGTCGCTGCCGCAGATGCAGAGACACAATCACCCGGTACGCGCATCACCCTGCCGTTTCCCCTGTGCATTTGCAAGTACCGTTTGGCTGGGAAACAATTCTGACGAGACGCTGCAGATGCTCAACCATCAGCCGATTCCAATGGTACCACGTCGGCTAATCCTCTAGATGGCCCCAATGCACCGCCGGCTCAAGATGATCCAGACGGCGAGCAGGAGGATGCCGAGATGGGCGGCGTGGAAGAAGATGCGAAAGTCGAGGACGTTGATGCTGAAAAGGATGGCGCCGAGGACTCTCAAGATACTCCAGCCGCGACACAAGCCACAGACGGTCAGGCAGCACAGGCCAAATCGAGCCTCGAAGCCGCAGCGAATTCTCACCTCGTTGCGCAAACACATCAAATCATCCTCCCCAGTTATAGCACATGGTTTGACATGCACACGATTCACGCCTTGGAGAAGAAGTCGCTTCCCGAGTTCTTCAACAGCCGAAACCGCAGCAAAACACCTGCTGTGTACAAGGACTACCGCGATTTCATGATCAACACCTACCGCTTGAACCCTATTGAGTATCTTACAGTAACTGCGTGTCGAAGAAATTTGGCCGGAGATGTCTGCGCGATCATGCGAGTACATGCTTTCCTAGAGCAATGGGGTCTTATTAACTATCAGGTAAAGTCCCCCATAATACGTCGATTGATGAAATACTGACTGTGGCAGGTCGATCCACAAACTCGCCCGGCTAATATTGGCCCTCCATTCACAGGCCATTTCAGAGTCACCGCAGACACGCCTCGAGGCTTGCAACCATTCCAGCCAGCTCAAAATACTTTCACCACCCCGGGAAAGCCACACCCTGCGACTGATCGGGCAGCTTCAGCAACTCCTGCTACCAAGGCAGATTTGAACCTTGAACTCAGACGGAATGTCTACGACGATAAAGGAAAGGAAGTCAAAAAGTCCGAAGAGCCTGAAAAGCAAACAAACGGCGAAGGGGCGACTGCGAACGGCTCCAGTTCAGGTGCCGCTACAACCAAGGCCATGGATGCAGCTGCCAGAGAGCCCATCAAAAGCTTCAACTGCTTTTCGTGCGGGATCGATTGTACGCGATGTCGCTTTCACTATGCCAAATCAGATCCCGTTTCAGGCGCCACGAACTCCAACGAGCTTAAGTACGACCTTTGCCCGAACTGCTATTTCCAGTCTCGAATGCCGGCGAACCATCGCTCGTCCGACTTTGTCAAGATGGAAGAACCAGCGTATTCACATATCCCCGACAAAAGTGCCGCCTGGACCGATTCAGAAACTCTATTGCTCCTGGAAGGTCTGGAGAATTTCGACAATGACTGGAACGAGATTTCCAAACATGTTGGTACACGAACTAGGGAAGAGTGTGTACTCAAGTTCTTGCAACTTGACATTCAGGATCAGTACCTCGAAGATGGACCATTGAACGGTTCGTCTGCTCTGAAGGCGTTGACAGGAAGGACCGCCATTAGCGAACTGGACAATCCCGTGATGTCGGTAGTCAGTTTCCTTGCTCAAATGGCGGACCCTGACGTGGTTGCCGCGGCATCGAACCGTTCTATTGCGGTCATGCAGAAGCAACTGCGGGCACAGCTCGAAAAGGGCATGGGAGGAGCCGAGCAAAGCACGTCGGGAGACGCGGATAAGGGGCAAGTGAAATCAGAAGACCAGATGGAAGTCGACGAGTCTGCCCCATCGATCGAACAGCCAGCTGCTGAAGTCAATGGGTCATCGAAAGTCATCAACGACATCGCCACCACAGCACTGGCCACAACAGCTGCACGTGCCAGCGGTCTCGCCTCCCACGAGGAGAGAGAGATCACGAGAATGGTATCGGCAGCCGTTAACCTGACACTCCAGAAGTTTGAGCTGAAAATGGCACAATTCGCGGAGATGGAAGAAATTGTACAAGCCGAACGCCGCGACCTTGAAAAGGGCAGACAACAACTCTTCTTGGATCGACTGTCGTTCAAGAAGAGAATGAAGGAGATGGAGAACACGTTCCGTCAAGCCAGCCTGAAGGATCCTCAAGAGGGGATGCGCATGATGCAAGAAGCGGTCAGCACCAACTCGGGCCAGAAATTTGGCTTCCAAGCAGAAGGCGACAAAGCTGAAGGTGTTATCAGTTTTCCTGCGGATTCAGCTGACACAAGGACGCTGGAGCTCTAAAGGAAAGGATCCGAAGAGCGGTGTGCAGCAATGTCTGGGTATGACGCGAAAGATATGTTCTGCACAAATGCGGGCAAATGATTTTCAGGTTTTTTTCCCCTTTATCAGAAGGTTGAGGGTGGTGCAAACCACAGCTTATGCCATGACTGTGGATGTCCGTGGCCGGGGGACAACCTGGAGCCTCTGGGCGAAGAATGCATTGGGCTTATCAGCTGTGAGGGATCATGGGGTTTTGGGCATGGCGTTCTCGTTCCCAATGTGGTGCATGTACTACATAAATCAGTGTGGAGGGGCCGGCTTGCCCTTTACCGGAAAAGAAAGGAAAAGACAGAAGGACTCAGGGGATCGGCATTCGTCGAATGTGTTATCAACAAGAGATGCGATACCCGGAAGGGTGTACCGAGCTGTTTTTCTTTTTTGCAAGACAGTGGATCTATTTATTGTTTGTAGAACAAGGTACCGACCGAGTATGCTTCCTGTTGTTGTGTTGGTAATTGGCGAGGCTGAGTTTATTTCCTTTTGAAGCGCAAGGCTGTGAAAACGCGATAAACACGCGCCACGTCTCTGCGTCGAGCGAACTTCAGCCGAAAAGACCCGAGGCTGGCAAGCGACACACGGCGATTCAACCGACACCGGATCTTGTATTTTCCCCCTTTCATTTTTACTCGTTTGATACTTGAAAAATCCTCTGACGCAAAGAAGGGATCTATACATCACATCGTATCCTGACGTGCACGCTCTTTTTTTCCTCTTGCGACATATAGACTGTCTGGTGTCCTTGCCATCATAATAGCGTCTTTTCCGGTTGTGGACTTTCTCTTGGAGATTTCCTGTTTGGCTCTGCGGAATATTTAGATTCTTGTTACCAGCAAAAAAGTTACCAAGCAAAATGGTGGCCGACGATGTACGTGTTCTCGGATTCCTCGTTCTGGACCCCTCGAAGCGCACTCTCTAACTGTCAAATGTTGTCGTTCTGTACTGGGCATATAGGGGTCGAACAAATCTCCGCTCGTTTCATTGATTGCAGGAGGTACGGCCGGTGGAGTTGAAGCGACAATCACTTATCGTAAGTTTTTCTCTCTCGCGTTTGCGGTTTGGGACACAAGGGAGGACAATTTCTCTTCTCCCTGGGGGAATGTAGAGGAGCGCTAGACTCAGAAGATCGAAGGACCAGGGCGAGTTACAACGGGGAAAAAGGTCTGACGGTGCGAAAATATGCAGCATTCGAATTCGCAAAGACCCGCGTGCAGCTGCACGAACAGACGCCGACTCGAAATCCGTTCGTCGTTATCAAACATGTCATTGAGCAGGAGGGCCCGCGCTCGCTGTATAAGGGGTGCTCGACCCTCGTGGCGGGGACGGTGGCTAAGGATGCGATCCGGTTCATCTCGTTCGACACCATCAAGGCGCAGTTCAAGGACCCGGAGACCGGCACGCTGTCACCGCTGAGGAACCTGATGGCCGGGATCAGCGCCGGGGTCGTCGCGAGCACCTTTGCCGTGACGCCGACGGAGAGGATCAAGACGGCGCTGATCGACGACGCGCGCTCGGAGCGCAAGTTTCGTGGCCCCGTCCACGCCACGGCGACGCTCATCAAGGAACACGGCGTCCTCAGGGCCCTGTATCGCGGCTACGTCACGACGACGCTGAAGCAGGCCAGCACCACGGCCGTGCGGCTGGGCACGTACAACATCCTCAAGGACTTTGAGCGGCTGCGCAACATCCCCCAGACCACCGCCACCACGTTTGCCAACGGCGCCGTGGCCGGCACGATCGTCGTCTTCGCCACGCAGCCGTTCGACACGCTCAAGACCCGCGCACAGTCCGTCCGAGGCGAGGGGGTGCTGGAGGCATGGAACGGCGTCATTTCCGATTACGGCTTCCGCGGCTTATGGAGGGGGAGCACCATGCGGCTGGGGAGGACCGTCTTGGCTGGCGGCATCCTCTTCACCACGTATGAGTGGATTGCCGCGTTGATTCAGCCAGCCTTGGAAAAGACCCGGCTCGCACCTACGACAGCCAAGGAATGAATTCGCCTATTGGACCGCGAGTCGTTCCGGAGACTGACTTTTGGTTTTCGTTCCATACGACAGTCCAATCTGGGTTGAGGAGCCCCATTCCTGGCAGGGAAGAAAGAGCGAGGTCGCTGGGGTTGTGGTCTAATCCTCGACGACTTTCCCCCTTTCTTTTATCGGGAAATGTTCCTTTGGGGGAGCGGATTACTTCAGCTTTGCGCACGCCACTCTCTGAAGTTTGAACGCATAGCAAATGGGAGCATTGCTCCAACAAAGATATCGCGCAATATCTCTGAGGCAAAGAATGACATCAATGGAGAGTGCAGGGTCGAGAAGAAGGAGCCGAGAACGAGGCGACCGGACTACTTGTACCCCGAGACATATGAGAAGACATGACGAACGAGGAGGGCAAGGCACAGCACAGCACAGCACAGCACAACCAGGCCAGGACAGACCGAAACACTCGAGACCCAGACCAGATAAAGTCAAGAGGGAACGCAAGACCAAATGCACTATCAAGGCATCCACACAATTCGCGGATGGCTTCGTCAGAACTCTCGCTCCATACCCCCGCGGATCAGACTGCAGCCTCTCTTTCATCTCTTTTGACAACTGTGCATATACAATGCAGGTTGAGTTTGATGTGAAAGAACAAGACATTTCCACCTACTTACTCACGGGCAAACGGAGCGAGTTCAATGGACTTCAGTCATCGGCAATGGAATCGACACGCTTAAGAAAGGACACTGCTCACGGAGAGAATGGATGGGACAGATCTTGAAAGAAAGAAGGAGGAATTCTCCCTGACCGCCTTCCGAAACGTGCTGGGAAACGTGCTGGGTAATTCGCTCAAAACCAGCCATCGACAGAGGTCAGGCCAGGCCAGGCCAGGCCGGGCATAAGGGGTTAAAGGAGTAGGACAGGAAAATGGGATGAAGAATCTCTGGCTGGATAGACCTCGAGAGTGCGAAAATTTGGGACGGCGAAACGCAAAAATTGCGAACAGCTGAACGGCTAAACCACCAGACTTAGACTTAGACTCGGACTCGGGCTCAGATTCAGATTCAGAGAGATAGATTTGTACAACAAACAGCACCATTAACCTCCATATGCCCATCCCCGATACCCCTTGACAATAATGTACGAGGGCGCGCGCACTAAAAGTACTGTCTACGCTAATTCAAATGATAAATGTTTATTACTATAAAAGGAGATTTTCCGAGCTTGTACATAGGCACTCTTACCTATCTCTTGGCTATCAGTTCAGATCTAATAGGCGGCCGCCTAACCTATATTCTTTAGTCTTGCTAGGCGCTGTAGGCATCGAGTATTGAGCTCCGATATCTCCGGGGGGGGCCGTTGTAAGGGTCAAAGAAAAGAAAGTCCCATCGTCTTCTGATCAGTCCGTCATTCATTCTATTACTATTACCTGGCGTTGACAATACTCTTGGTGCGCGCGCCTCGGTACAACAGACAGCACCATTACCCTCCTCTACTCGGTATATTTCCATAACCGAAACTCATTGGCCATAATAAACTTGTCAATGCTTCATATGCTACCCCCTTACCAGGGAAAGCAGCTGAAATATTGTCTAAAGGTTGCCTTGACCTCCTCGAGGCGGCCGGTCTCGACCATGTTAGCTGCAGGCGTCTTAATTGAACCGGTGGTGACCCCGGAGTCACGAACGCTATTATAAACGGGCGCATCAGCGCTTTGTTCCTGTCTTAGAGGGCTGGGGGCATAATCGCGAGCATGGCGAAAATATATACATCTGCACACGAAGATGAGCTCTACCAGCCGGGAGAAAAGGCTCATATGGAACGACTGTACAGATATGTACCGAGTACCGAGTACATGTACACAAAGCAAGAGATTACCCTCGATCGCTGGCTCGCTTGCTCAGCCACGCGCTTCATAAACACAACACAAGACCACATTTGGGTCGATGGAACTACCCCCAGACACACCCTCTCCAAGGTACAGACACAGCCAGACACACCTATGTAGGTTAGGTGTACGCCTTGACCACCGCGTGGGATGACCTCCGAAGGCGAAGACGCTTTTTAGCCTTTTTGCGACTCAGCTGCCCTCATGACCTGTGACGATGTGACGGGCGGGCTCCGGAGGTCCCATCTCCACCAGCACCACTACCATCATCATCATGAGGCGTTTCCTCCCGGGCGTCCTCATGTCTGGGGGCCATGTTGTTGGTGGTGCAGCCGTAGTCCACAGCGGTCCACGCGGCGACCAAGAAATTGACGGCGAGGTCGTTGAGCCGGTCGAAGCCGGTCAAACAGGCCTGCGAACGCCCGCTCGCATTCGCGCCGGAGGCCGTCAAACGCCTTTGCCCACCCGCTTCCACCCTGGGAGGCGTCTAACCGTGCCTGTTCCCACTCCTGATCCTGGTCCTGGTCCTGGTCCGGCGTGCTCCAACTGCCGGCATCTTCTTTGGCGGCGATATATGGGCTCGGTGCCCGCGAGGGAGGTTGTCGCTCAGTTGATCTTGGGGCCGGGTTTTCGACGATGGTGATCCCGGGTCTACTCCTGCTGCTGCTGCTGCCGCCGCCGCAGCTGCTGTTGGGGCCGGCCGCGTCTTCCCCGAGGTCCTCGCTGAATCGGGATACTCGCCCGTTGATGGGGGAGCCACCCAAGACGGCCAACGGAATGGGTGAAGGTCTCATGATCCCGTTTCTGTTTCTATTGAAGGTGGCGGCGGCGGCGTCCTCTCCAGCAGCGTTCGACGACGTGTTGGGGTTGATGCTGGTGCCTGTGCCCGTGCAAGAGGCAGTACCTCGTTTGCGCTGGAGGTTTCCTGACGAGGAGATGTTTCGCCAGATCTGTGGGATGGGAGAGGACGCTGATGAAGAAGAAGCCATGACTGGGTGGAATGAAGGAATGAAGTGTCTGAGTGCCGGGCGCGGTTGCTGTCGTTTCGCAGATAAGACTTGAGGATCGGGTCGAGGATCGGGTCAAGAAAGCACGGGGGGGCGATATGATCAACGAGAGACTGGAGGGAAAGAAATGCGCAGAACAGAAGAAACAACGTGCGACTTACCATATCACGGTCCTTTGCTCGAGGAGCCCTGCTTTTTCTTCGAGAGATCGTCCATCCATAAGATTTCTCTTACAGAATACTTCAGCAGAGTCACGCTTCTCCCCAAGCGGATGTCAAGGCTGATGTTCTTTTGGTGAGCCAGCCATTTCCGCAGGATCCAAGAATGGATCTGCGAATAACCTGTGGAACAGCCATCGACAGCATCGTGCCGTCTTGTCACGTTGAGCCCTTGTGGCAGCACCTGTCCTGTTCATCACGCTCATAGGAAAAGCCTCTATACTCCACCCAAACCAAAGTACGTATAGAAGTTTGTTCGTCAGAATGAGAGGATTTCCATACACATCAAAGACAAGGAGAGCTTGTTTGTCTGGTTGTATGGCAGCCTCTATCCGCTAAGGAGAGAAGATCCTGTTGTTCATGCGAAGAACCATGGATTCTCAGTTTCCCAGACTGTGGTTCTGCAGAGCCTTCGACACTAAAAATAGCAACATCATCATTTTCGAATCCGCGTCAAGCTCGACTCAGACGAAGCTGTTTGCTTGGCTGCACAAGAATCGTGATTGTCTCCAGATGTACCTCATCAACATCTGTTGAATGGTAGAACCATTTGGTCAACTCGAGGGGGAACTTTGCTCAAGGCCGACACTGAGCTTCTGGTGGCTACACTGGCGGTACGTGCCTACCATATCGGGGAGAGGGAGTATATCGGAACCGCAATACTCACCTATGAGTGGCTGATGTGGCAAACAAGAGCTTTTTTCCCATCCAGCTGTGTGGAACTATCGAGGCTCAACGCCGAGCAAACTCCATTTTCTGGCGAGAATGCTGGCTGAGGAAATCCATAAGAGCCTGGCGAGTCTGACCAGCCTGCGACGAGAAAAGATCCGGAACCAAGTTTATCCTGACGTTGCCGCGAAGGTTGAGGGTTGGCTCAACTGGAGAAAGTGGATTTGTCTGCCGAGAGGAAGAAGCGAGAGCGGGAGCAACAGAAGGCAGATGGTGGCGACGGCGGTAAGCGAGGGGAGGAGTATCATGAGAGGGAGCACCTGTTTACAGGAAATGTGTCGGTGTTTAGACTATGAACGAAATGGTGGGCTCGAGTTTACAAAGTGGTCAGATAGAGGTTGAAGGTGGTCGGGTAAAAGTGAGAGCGAGGAGGACGGATCTGGATAGACGGAATGGTTTAATGCGGAGCCTGTCGGGGCATTTTCTGGCATCCGGGGGCGGGAGGGTTTACCTAGTTGGTACTCGTAGGGGCAAATGAGGGAGGTGAGGCAAGCCTATAGGTGGTAGTCTATACCTACTCCGTACCTAGGGAGAGGTTCCCCCACCTAATGCCTAGACCTGCCTAGACCTGCCTAACTGTCCAAGCAACTCTAAGCAACCCCAAGCAAACGCCCCCAACAACAAGAGCCTTGACCAGCTGTACTACACGGCTTGGCTATGACACTTGTCGGCCGTTGAATCCGCCACCAACGTACGCCAAGTTGCACCCTGAAGTCAGCTCACCACTTGTGTCTGAAGCACATGAGATCCTTCCGACATTCCACGAAAAGACATCAGAAGAGATGTTGCACTCAGAAATGCCACAGAGTATCATTCCGAACCCTCACAAACAACCAAAAGAGTAATCCTATGGAATGTCCAGAGAACACGATCCGAACTCTTCCATCCCTCTCTCGTGTCTGCGTCCCGATCTATCCTCGTCGAGGCCATCCAGAAGCCGGAATGGAGACAGTGGGCATATTGTCATTGGCAGCGTCATGATTACATACACCGAAAGAGATACGTTGGTGACATCCGTCCGTCCTACTTGATACCTCCCATGCTCATAGCCATCCCCGACTTGCGCCGGTCGAAGGCCGGGCGATGTCACGCTGTCCCATCTGTGATTGACACTCTAGCGCAGCAGACCTCGTCTCTCAGCCTCGTCTCATTCGTTGCTCCTCCAGATCCCCCGCAATTTCGACGGCCAGTGTGCCCGTTGAGACAAGCCTACGATCCTGGGTCTTTTCTCCACCAAGGATCTGCGCCAGTATTCCACCAACCACAGAAATGCAATCCCTCAAGTCCGTGTGCCGTGTAACCACACCACCTATCTCTCCAAAGGTCGGGTCTGTGCCGATCAGTCACCGTTCCCTGCTCGCGTACGACCACGAGCTGCGAGGTGAAAAAATGGGACCAGGTCGAACCAGCATCCCTTGCAGGGGCCTCATGACCACCCGCCCATTTGTCCTTGTGGGGGAAAAGGAAGATAAAAGGTTGGTCGCCTGCTGTCAAATGCGCTGTGTCTTTCCTCCCCCAAGTCCGGCCTGTCCACTGTGGTGCGTGAGGCTACACAAGACTCGGTAGAAGTGTGATCCAGCAACCAGACAAGAGCTGGGACAGTCAATATGGCTCACATCGAGTCTCCTACCAAGGAGACTGTACCCGCTGCCCGTCACTACAGCGATGAGTACGAGATCGACAACTCGCACATGTCTCCAGGCAAATATGCCGCGACAAGACTCAGTACCCTCAAGCCTCCTATGGCAAAGGCGCCCAACCCTTTCAAGCTTCTGGCCATGTTGAACACCCAACAATGGCTTTTCTTTCTTGTGGCCTTCTTTGGCTGGTCGTGGGATGCCTTTGACTTCTTCACCGTCTCGCTCACTGTGTCTGATCTGGCCGAAACATTCAACAAGTCCAACACTGACATAACTTGGGGCATCACGTTGGTGCTCATGTTCCGTTCAGTGGGATCAACCATCTTTGGTATTGCTGCTGATAGATATGGGCGGAAGTGGTATGGCAACCCCTCTTTGCGTCTGTCCATTGAACCTTTTTGCTGACATAAAATCGCCAGGCCCTTTATCATCAACAATATCCTCTTCATCGCCCTTGAGCTTGGCACCGGCTTCACTCAAACCTACGGTCAATTCCTCGCCGTGCGCGCGCTCTTTGGCATTGCCATGGGTGGTTTGTATGGCAACGCGGCAGCCACCGCACTTGAGGATTGCCCCGAAGAGGCGCGTGGCATCATTTCCGGGATGCTGCAGCAAGGTTACGCATTTGGATATCTGCTTGCCACTGCATTTGCTCGTGCTCTGGTCAATACCACCTCACACGGCTGGAGACCGCTGTTCTGGTTCGGCGCGTGCCCTCCAGTGCTGATCATTTTGTTCCGTCTTTGTCTCCCCGAGACCAATACTTTCCGCGCTCGCCAGGCTCTTCGTGCGCAGCAGGGTAGCTTGGCTGGTACTTTCATTTCCGAGGGACGAGTTGCGCTCAAGAAACACTGGCTACTGCTCATCTACATGGTGCTTTTGATGGCGGGATTTAACTTTATGAGCCACGGCTGTAAGTTGTGTCCTAGAGGCTTTCTACCAGTCACGCTGCTTCGGCTTAAGGTTACTGACCAAACAATTAGCCCAGGACTTGTACCCAACCATGTTGACGAACCAGTTCAAATTCTCCGCCGACGCCGTCACCGTTACACAGGTTGTAGCCAACTTGGGCGCCATGACAGGTGGCACCACCATCGGATATTGTTCGCAGATCTTCGGTCGTCGATTCAGCATTATTTTTATTTCCATTGTCGGCGGAGCACTTCTGTACCCCTACACCTTTGTCACTTCCAAGGCTGTCATTGCGGCGGCATTCTTTGAGCAATTCTGTGTGCAGGGTGCATGGGGTGTCATTCCCATTCACCTGATGGAGCTTTCTCCTGGCTCTTTGCGGACCTTCGTTGTGGGCACCTCGTACCAACTAGGCAACCTAGCTTCGTCGGCATCGTCCACGATCGAGTCCACCATCGGTGAACGGTATCCTCTTGAGCCTCTCATCAACAAGGAAGGAAAAGCCGTGAAGAGATACAACTACGGCAAGGTCATCTGTATCTTTATGGGCGCGGTATATGCTTATACCATTTTGCTGACCTTTGTTGGGCCCGAGAGGAGAGGGAGGAGTCTGAATGTGGAGCACGATGAGGACATGGCAGAGGTCACCCACACGGATTTGAGCCACCAGATTCCTGTCCGCGGAGACTCTAGCGAGGACGAAAATGTGATTCCAGGTGAGAAAGTTTGAATTGACGGATTGACGACAAAGGGCTTTTCTGTGGCAAGATGAGTAGATGGATAGTATCGTGTGCGCATGGCCCTGGAGAAAAGTGAATCTGTTCGGATCAGAAGCATGAAGATGACGTGGGTTTCCATCTGCTCGTTCGCCGCAAAGAGAGATGCAAGAACTGGAATGGCCCTGTGCTGGCACGAGATTGACACGAATGAACCAGGATGAATTAATTCCTTTACACCCAATTACGAACTTTTATTCTGTTCTATTCTAATTAAAGTCCTGATTGGCTCTCTCTCCTCTCCCTCTCTCTCATACACATCAAAATCCAAAAACCCAAGAATCCAAGTCATGACACACCTTGCCTGGTTCTATATCCTCCTCCTCCTCGTCCTCATCCTCGGTCGAGAATTACAGACGAGAGGGGATTACCCGTGAAAGCCAGTCTAGATACAATTAGATAGGTAGCCTACGTCGACTAGATATACTAGGTGTACATCAAGGGGCTGAATATATACCTTCATATGTACCTCGTACATGTACATGTGCATGATCATATCACAGAGCGCGCACGTAGACATAGATGTACATATGTACATATGTAGGGTATGTACAAATAGCCCTCGAAACACAGGGGTGGTGTCAGTCACCGACCGGGCGTGTCTCTTCTTGTCTTCGACGAGGTGGACTGCCCCTTCCCGGTTATATCTACCTTCTGCCCTCTTTCGGGAGGGTCTAGTTTCCCTGTCATTGCTTACTTGCTTGCCTGCGTCTTTGAAGGGGATGAAATCCCCGTGTATTCGGTTACTCAGACAAGTGCTCGGTGCAAGTACGAGTAAGGACATGCGCGAAGGATCCGGGTGCGGTACCGCCAAGTACCTATTACCCACCGAGGGCCACCTAGAGTACCTATCTGCCTACCTACCTACCTACCTATATGAATAGAGTCATCTAGTGTCCAAGTACGGAGTAACGTAGTAGCTTATCCGTTGCCTGGGGTTCCCCTCCGAGAGCCCGACGAGGCGAGTCAGCTTGATGATACGAGTAATCAGTACATATGTACGAGGTAGATATACACAATACGCCCGAATAGGGAGAACTCGGAGGCCGAAGGCTCACCACTTGTCTTCATGACGTACGTCGGTCGGTCGGACTTTTTAAAGCCAGAAGAAGGATTTCTGGGGCAAGGACATGTGCGAGAATAGCTTCGGAGGAGGATCAAAGTTGAGCGTCGGTGCGCCGCAAGCCTATCATGGTCGCTTCTGGGGTTTCTGCGTTCAAGGGTCTAATGCTTTTCTTTGCATGAATCGCCCATCTTAGATATCTTGGGAGAAGCTTGTGGTATCTTGTGGCGTTGGGTCTAGCCAAGGTGCAATATGCGTGGACTTGAGATACCGCGATTAGTCGTGGATACTTAGGATTTGCCGCCGCAGTCACAATTCTCGGCACTGAACAAATGGTGTTCAGTTGCACACGATAGCAACCCATGTCTAGTTCGTTGAGCCATGTTCATCCCATTTGGAGCCGTGCTGCAAGAGATTTCCAGACACGCAAGATTTGGAGTGTGTCCAAAACATGTTTTCTCTCGATTCGCAATGTCAACATCGTCGACTCCGCACTGGCAGCTTGGTTGGAGCCCTTGCGCATGCATTTCGAAAAGCATGTTATCTTTGAACAGGTGTCAAGGCTGACAGTCGCTGATTCATCCGGCTTGGACATTTTCGATAAGCCGTTAGCAGACGCTAGTCAAGCAACGCTTGACCACAAATATCAATGCCATGAGCCTTTATCGGACGTTTCGAGGCTCATCGCTGTCCTTACCTCGTCTGAGAGCCATCTAGGAGAAACCCTGTTCCTGTGTCAAACAAAACAACGAGGCTGACAGCGCAGGTTGATGGAGTTGTCCACGCCGGGGAAGGATGGGACAAATGAGCCAAAATATTCAAAATAGCAAATCCATTGGGGATTCTGTGAGTTGATCCGCCTGCACTCTGTACTCGGTACCTGTCTTCAGGTACATGAGTAGTTGGTTGCCTGACGGCATCCACCATGGTCTCGGCGTGGGGGGCTTGAATCTATCTTCATCGTGTTGGGATATGGTGGAATAACCCAAAGGATGTCATAGGGACGGCACAATCAGGTCCTTCGTCGGTGCTGATGCGTCTTCAGTGTTTCTATATACTGAATACTGTTAGCATCGAATCACGGGCGGGCTGTATCCCACAGTCTCTAACGGTCCCACAATTCGTGACCTCAACAGAGACTGCCAGAACCAAAAGAGGCTCGTTTAGCATCACTGACCCTCTTCAGCTGTTGGAATTGGTGCCATCATACAGCTCGGCACTCGAATCTTCTCATTTGCTCTCCACAATCCCAGAACCTAGTTGTGATGCGAATGGAAGTCTGAGAAAGAATTGCCGAATCACCACGAAGCAATGTCTAATCGTCCCGTATCTGAAGTCTTGTTTGCTCTAAGTTTGATGTCGGCTCGGTTTACTGGGTCTGTGCGCAAAACCAGGTTGGGGTTCCACTGTCGGTCGCTATCTGAATATCTCCGACCATCGCTGTGCCTGTGCCGCGTCCATCGAAGATTCTGCACCTAGCGGATTGCATACGAGTACTGTACCTAACGTCGAAGGTAAAAAACGGATGACAAGTCCGTTCAGCGCAACCAGTCCTCTTAACAATACAATGGAGAAGAGGTTGGCCGCCAAGCTTTGGAGGCTCATTTAGACATCGATAATGGCCGCTTGTGGCACTCTGGTGACAACCAGGAAGCGAGATGAATGGCAAGCCCAGCTTGCATGCGTTATCTGGGTGATTAACGGTCGTCCATCGTTCTTCTGGTAGCTACCACATGCTAGTCTGTCTGCAGGAAGAAGATCTGCTCTTGGGTATCAGCATCAGTATTGTTTATCTTTAGCCCTGGTTGAGAAGGTGGCTGGGCTCAGTAAGCTGTGGATTTCGACATTCCTCTCCCCCTGTCAGTCATTTGCTGGCAGGCCGCAGGGCCAACGGGAGCGCAACATATGTGGTTTCGTCCTCGTAGACAGCCCCGTAACAGTATAGGTACACACGTCTTGTGTGCAAAAAACCTGCACCTCTTGCCAAATCGTTGGGAGGTTGTCAACCAGAGAAATCAAAAGGGCTCGTTCGATTTGTGAATGTGACCTGCCAGTTCTTGTTGCACTACGCGCCAGATGTAAGATACGAGGTCCTTGAGACTGGTTTGATCGACACTGGCAGGCGGACCTGGGGCTTTTCTAGATGGCAGGAGAGTACACGTTGAGCAGACAACCTGGTTCAAATCTCTTCAAGAGGCATGGAGGACGGAGTGGATACTTCGGGAATCAGGGCAGGACAAGGGTCGACAGAGAGGGCCGATTGGCGATGATTGGTGTACCTGGCAGACATTGTGTATCTCTGGGAAATGCGGAAACCCGGCACAAGACAGGAGAAACGAGGTTATTGATCGACACGAGAGGTTCATGGTCCTTTTTGGTGTGCAAAGGGGCAAGACTATCGAACGGAGAGTGGAAAAGCTTCTTGGTAGACTGATATGGCAACAAGATGGACGATGAGACGACGTGGCTGCCCCGTGAAGAAAGTGAAGAAACCTTCGTGCGTGTCAAGGAATCCTTGGCTTGCGCAACCCTGAGTCGCGTTGCTGGTGTTGCGGCAGTTTCAATCTGCCACCAGCCCAAAAATTTTAGTTAAAGAGAAGCCCCCCAAAATGGGTCGCTTCTGTGCCCTAATCTTAGCCAGCCCAAGGCCAGCCATGCCCGGGAATGCCCACTTTATCGGGCCCCCAGTGCCGCTAGTCTATGCTTATCCGGTGAAAGGTTCAAACTGCGCTTTTTCAGGTACAAAGCGCTCCGTACAGAGATTCCCTGCGTGCAGTTATCATGTCCATGCGCGCCTTTGCTATCTGATCATTGTCTCCGTCTTGATTTCCTTGTGCCTTCATCCTTAGCCACGGCTGGCTCGAGGACATCACATCCACCGACTCGTCTCACCAGGACTCCTCTATATCGAACCATGGCCCCGAAGATGACCTGCAGGGTCTATTCGCCTTCATACGTGTAAGGGTCCGCGTCCCCGACAAACATACGACACTAGACACCACTGCCTCATCCATCTCACCTGTGACCTGGTTCCTGCTTCAGCTCCTGCGTCCTGCAACACTGGTCGGCTCCATCAGATGGCGTATGCCTCGGTCGCCCAGGCTGAGCATGAGGCCGTATATCGCGAGTCCGCTGCTGACTCTGTCCACCATGATCCGCATTCCTACTCACCTGCCCGTTCTCCAATCCTTCCCGAAATCTCCAGTCCTCCGCTTTCCCTGCCACTGTTCGATCAGTTCTCCCGAGATGGCGACCTCTCGGTCGGTTCTCCAACTGGACCAAATGCCGTAGGCGTTGGGTCTCTTCTTAAGTCTTTGTCTTCCTCGCAGTCGTATCAAATGGTGGAAGAAGATGACTACGAGGAGCCCATGCCCAAATATCCAGAACCTCTCGCACTGCGATCGAAAATGGACGTTCTCCCACCCGCACAGGACAAAGCCGCATTCCAGAAAGAGGACCCTCCAATCAGAACAGCCTCAATCAGTCGTCACCTGCCCTTAAATCATCCGACCCCAGATTTACAGTCGCTGCAAGGGGCCTTGGTCAAAAATGTGGAACGCCTGGAAGAAAGCGCCGAGCGTTTGAGCATGACCTCGAGCCTCGAGGATGAGCTGAACAAGATGAAGCAAGATCAAAAGCGACTGGAGCGGCAGTCCTCTGCGCCGGCGACTTTGGACAACCCTATTCGACCATCAGTCCAGAGACAGTACTCAACTGGTTCATGGTCGAATTCCATAATTGGCGTGAACCAGACGGCCAGATTAGGAGGATATTCTCCCTCAGGATACCACATCACGTCTCCGTCTGGTTCCATCCGCTCGGGGCCACGTACTCATCAAAAGGACAATCATCTCAACCATGTTTTGCCGACCTTGGAAGGCCGGCCGTTGCAACTCAGTCCGGAGCGTACTGCCTCCATCTCCATTTATCCTGAAGACGAAACGGCGCCCAATCCGCTGCGACGAACGTCCAATGGGTCAGTCCAGGAGGAGAGGCCAACCACATCCGCTTCCAACGAGACATATCGTCAAGCTCAAGCCGTGTTCAACGACTTTGATGGAGTGCATTACGGTGGACCTATGTCCCATGAATCAGCTGCTTCTATGTCACGACGAATATCACTCCATCAACCACCACTTGCACGAGACTCGAAAGCCTACAAAGAGCCTCAACCGGGAGAAAGAATGATCTACTATCCTGCGCCAGTTCCAGTCATGTTGAACCTCCCACAGAGACTTTCAAAGTTCAACATTAGTGAACGAGACAAACGTCGGCTCCAGGCACTGAGTGGCATCCCAGATGATGCGCGCAAATCGGCCATCTGGCTTAAAGAGGAAGATAGCGCCAAAATACAAGATCCAGGCAGTGCACTCAAATTACCACCCCAGTTGCGAGCCAGCGCTTTTTTCGAACAGCCCAGTGTCACTCAGGATCTCCAGCTCAAGAACGGCTCCGCTGTCCAGACGCTGGACAGTATCTTGGACGCCGCCGCACACGCTCCTGTGTCGGCCTTCACTGATCATCCAATTGCTGGCCATCTTGGGAAGGAAGTGTATGGTCCGGACGCCTCCCCTAGGAAGAGTATGCAATTAGACGAGGCTAAGACAAAGAAACGCCGGAGTTCAATTGGCACAATGCTCAAGACAAGACGGTCAAGCACTGCCCTCTCCAATTCGGGCCTGCTGCGCTCAAAATCAAGAGGCTCTCAAAATCTAGATGTCGACGACCAAGCCAGTGGGGACGAACTTGACCGAGCTGCGGCTGCATCGATAGCGCCTGATGGTGATGAGATACCCGATGAAGAGGAGGACAAGGATGTCGCCCCACCAGGATTTTCGACCGCGCCAACGACTCTCCTTGCCGAGTTACAGATGCGCAAGGAACAACAAAGATTGCGTAATCGTACTGCGGCAGACGCCTTCCCCAATGGCATGCACTCGACTTTGCTTGAGCTGGATGCTGTTACGCAACTTCAACAGCGAGCCCGAAAGACCAAGCATGTCACCTTGGCTTGGGAAGATCATGATGAAGCGGACAAGCAGAACTTTGATGATGAGGATGTACCTCTCGGAATCCTGTTCCCGGAAAAGGATAGAGCAGAGCACGCGAATGCCAATAGACCAATTGGTCTCCTTGAGAAGCGGGAAATGGAGGAGAACGAGCCTTTGAGTCAACGACGAGCGAGATTGCGAGGCGGGCAAGTTCAAACTTCGAAATCCGAGGCTAAGAGTCAGATTGAGGAGGGAAGCCGGCCACCGTTCATCGAGGAAGTCCCAGGCCTAACTCAAGAAACCCTGCCCGAAGATGAAGATGAGACTCTAGCACAGAGGGCAGCAAGGATGAAGCTAGAGAAAGAGAGAGGTACTGGAGGCCAATTTACGGAGGAGTTGACCTCACAATTAGGTCTCAATGGCACGAACGACGTCCCCCCACCATCAAAAACACCGGATGTGGAAGAAACATTAGCACAGAGGCGAAAGCGGCTGAAGGAGGAAGCAGCCGCCAACCCGCAGGGGATCCAGCAAGTGAAACCCATGCATAGCCTGGCTAATTTACTCCAAGCTCATCCTGCCGGTGCCCAGTCAAAACCAGGGCTGCCAAGGACCAGTTCGAATCAGGTATACAACTCGATGCAGAATCCAAACTGGGGCTATCCTCAGCAAAATATTGCTTTCAATGGAGCTTACGGCTATCCTCAGAATGCTGGGTATATGAATGGAGGATTCGGCGCACCGTTGCCCACCTATATGCAACAGACATATCCATACTCATATGGTACTCAACCGTATATTCAGGACCCGATGATGGGCCCACCGTTGGATCCCAGACAGCGAGCGCAAATTGATCGCTGGCGCCAGAGTGTTGTGCAATGATTGCATGAACCTGGCGCATTGACTTGGTCATATATCCTTTTTTTACCTGGTTGGGTATTGTGGATTTGGAAGTCATGAGACTAACCACTCTCATGGAAGCTGCTGATCACATGGATGGAATAATGAAGACAATTGTACGAAAAGCATGAGCAAGATACGACGAGCCTGGTGGTAAGGAGTATCGGTACTACTGCAGGACAGAGGCAGATGTGGGATGCTATTAATTCTTGCAGTGGGTTAGAAACATGTTGTAAAGATATAATATGATGTCTCACTGTCTGCACGGTTAATTTCCACGTGGCTACAAAGGCATGGTTCGCAGGGGTCTATGGATGATCTCAAGGCTGGATGCGTGTCGTTCAAGTTCTGAGTTCGGAGCCTTCCACGTGATTCGGGTAAGCCAAGTCTGTTGCTGTGGCAGCCACACGAGGGTAAACAACGCAGGTGCGATTCCAACGCGGGCTGTCGGTCGGCCAGGCCACTTCCACGTCCACATCCGTGCCTTGGCTATGGATCATCCTACTGCCCGTGCTCTAGCATCGTTCATGTTTCTGTAGAAATGAGAAACTGTATCTGAATAGGCACCGTGCCCAAATATATCTTCTTCGATCCCTCCACCATGGCACCCTCCGTCCATCAGGTTGCTCAAATCTTTGAGGATCCAGAACCTCAACAAAGAGGCCGAAGAGCGAACCACAACCGAGCTCCTTCAGTGGGAGACGTCCTCAGAGGACGTCAAAGGGACAACGTTAGCCCTGCAAAGCCGCAGAAACCATCCGGTCGAGAAGTTGCCAACTCTGCCAGTCCACTTGGAGAGCGGCACATCAACAGCCCACCACAACCGAAACGAATTGCAACAAAAACAGGAGATGAGCCTGGCCGTCTTGCTCTGTCCCGCACGCACAAAAAGACAGGGAGTTCGGTGTCGTTGAAAGGAATCATTTTGGGCAAAGAGAAGAGTGCGGATACTGGGAGTATTTCCCCGGTCGAGGGCAACACGGCCGACAAGAAACTTAAGAAGGTGAAATCAGCCAGCAACCTGACTGGACTACTGAAACGGAGGTCGAAGAAAGATCTCAGGGAAGAGAATAACAGAAACAGCAGCAACCAAGAAAATTGCCCTCCACCAAAGACAACACTCAGCGAGAGTCCCACTCCCATTTGGGCACAGTTTGCGACCCAGCCTTTGGAAGCGGCGGATGGCAAGATGATATATCCAGCTTCGAAGAGAAGGACTGTTCAAGAGGAGATAAATCTGTATACCCCCAAAGACTATTCCGAATTTCGTCCTGCGGAACAAAGGAACTTTTATGGCTACGGTCCAGCGGCATCACCGGTGTTGGACTATCAGCCACCGCAAAGACCATTCTTGGAGCACAAATCTAGCAGAAGCTCCATCTTCACCGAGAACATTGATGATAATACTGAAGCGGATATTAAACCGCCAAAGAGTAGGGATGGACAAATCAGCCGCCCAGCTTCCTCTTGCAAACCTGATGGGCATCCCATTACACCCATCCAACCTCCATCCTCATCTCAAGCAGACCCCAAAGTCAAGCTAGGCTCGAGGGTTTTCGAGGCAATCCAGACTTTCAATATGAGAGCTCGCAAGGACACCCGTCCCGTCCCAGAGCCTCTGAATTCCGCAACCTCTCCCCTCAGTCCTCAAGAGCTGGACTCGGCGTTTGAGAAAGTGTTGGATTCATTGAACATTCCACTGAATATGCGGGACAATATGCGAAACCTCAAGCCAGATGTCAAGGCCGGCCTGATGAAGGGTGATCGTGTTGGCAGTGGTTCGTCTACGATGTCAGCCATCGCTGATAGCACGGAGGCCAGCTCATCATCTAGGAACTCTCACAAAAAAGAAAATGAGAGGCCAAGGAGCGAGGGTGAGGAGAGCAAGGAAGGCAGACGATCCAGATCCCGATCCCGCCCAAGAAGTCGTATCTTGACACTGACCAGGCGGGAAGAAGACTCTCCTACAAAGCAAGACAAGCCAAGTTCATCCTTGAGATCACGCAGTAAATCCAGGAACAAATCCGCCGACTTGACGAGCTCCAGACCCAATTCGGCGAAAGCAATGTCTTCGACTGTGTCGCTAACATCCCTCAATCCGGCAGACAGCGCTACCACTCCCGGAGATTTCATCCATTACCTTCGAGAGGTACAGAAACCTGCACTCGTAGAAGTCAGCAAGCTTCACAAACTGAGGATTCTTCTGAGGAATGAGTCGATTTCTTGGACGGATCATTTCGTCAGCAAGGGCGGCATGGACGAGCTTGTTCAACTCTACTACCGCATCTCCAAGATCGAGTGGCGCGAAGAACATGAAGACAATCTTCTCCACGAGGCTCTGCTGTGCTTGAAGGGGTTGTGCACGACATCCCTTGCCCTACAACGTCTGCAGCAAATGGAAAATGAGTTCTTCCCAGCACTCTTGCGAATGTTATTCGATCCAGAGCGAAAGGGTCCATCAGAGTTCAACACCAGAGGCGTGATAATCTCGCTCCTTTTTGCTCACTTGTCAGCCGAGGTCGGTTCTAGTCCGGAGGTTGTTCAAGGACGAGCACAGAAAATCCTTGGATTTCTCAAGGACCCCGTACCAGAGGATGGCAAACAGCCGCTCGACTTTGTGTCACAAATGCATACTCCTCGACCTTACCGAGTCTGGTGCAAAGAAGTTGTTAATGTCACGAAGGAAGTTTTCTGGATATTCCTGCATCATCTCAACGTCATTCCCATTATCGAGGTTGATGACTCAGTGGGCTATTGTAAAGCACATTTCCCCCCTCCTCGACCACCGCACCCGGCTGCCCCGTACGTGGGAGGCGTTGAATGGGAAGCGACGCAGTACCTCGCTACCCATCTGGATCTATTGAACGGGCTGATAGCCTGCCTCCCGACTGCGGCGGACCGGAATGCATTGCGGGAAGAGCTAAAGCAATCCGGGTTCGAGAAAGTGATGGGCGGGAGTCTTCGAACATGCAAAGAAAAGTTCTATTCAGGGGTCCATGAAGGCCTAAAGTGTTGGGTTGCAGCGGCCAAAGCAGACCAGTGGCCAGCGGAAGACGTCAGAGCAGGTCCGCCGAGAGAAACGCTTAGTCCGAGGAAGAGTCCCGTCAAGAAGAAAGGCGATGAGCCTCCACAACTCGCTTTGGATGTGGGTGTTGGTCACGGACAGTCATCGAAAGTGGACGATGGCTGGATTTGAAGCTGTGACACGTACAGGAGCATCAAAGGGCAAGCAGACCGTGTTCGATGAGGAATTGATTAGATGGTTGTTGGAAAGGGGAAGAGGTTATGACCTTGACGACTTTTACTGTCCCGTGCAAAGATCGATCATTGTTTGTAAGCGAAAATTATGATGGAGTATTAGCTATTGGCGTAACGGACTTGGTGCTGAATGTAATGAAATTTCCCCATTCCCAGAGATGTACCGAGTATTGGTTATCAGTAGGGAAGACAAGATGGGAGGGGGCTTCGTGAGGCTGCGAGGTTGCGAGGCTACGAGGCTGAGGCTGAGAGTGTGGCTGAACAGACGGTTGCACGTGACAGCGGAAACAGAGAGATCGGTGGGTTGATGTCACCAACCGCCGATTGGAGAATCCAGCGAGCAGCAAGCGGAAGAGGCACGGGGAGGAGAGCCACCAGAACAAGAGGGAGGGAGATGCGCGCAACGCTGGCTGCGCTCCCCCCCATGGTTCGTTCTCGACCACATTTTCCACCGCGCTTGCACCTCGTTGACCAGCTCAGACTTTCTCTCTTTGATGATGCTGTCGACTATTTTGATCATCTTGTTTCCGCTGTTTTAGTCTCTTCTTATTCTGTACTGCCGATGCTGTGATAAATTTGCTAGATTTCCCGCTCAGGCCATCTTCGCAAGATCGCACACTCTCGCAGCTCTGGTCCTCTTCAGGTCTACCTTCCCACCATCGGATATCCTTATGTCCACGACGACAATGACTACAACCCTGGGCACCTCCAACGTGCGAGGCGTCCCATCTCGCTTGACTCGAACCAATCCTGCCAGAGCCTCGAAAGGCCTCGGATCGACCCTCCTGCGCCAGAACTCACTCGTCTCCAACAGTGGTCTTGCTCTGACATCCTCTTCCACCGCCGTCGCCTCACAAAGCCAGGCCAACAATGACCCGCCAGCCATGTACCCTGCCATTACTCATTTTGCCGATGCGATTTCCGCTTTGCCTCGAGAATACCGCCGACACACCTCACTGCTGAAGGAGGTCGATGCAAAAGCGTGGGGTCCTGAAGAAAATCTACGAGAGATCTTGGAGCAGTGTCTGACGGACAGTGCTGTGACAACGAATCATCTAGCTGCCGCTTCCCAGAGCCTAGCTGGCTCCGTTGTCGCAGATGATACCCTGAACCTCAGCGAAGCGAACAGCGTCGCTGGTGCGTCCTTTGACAACGCCTCCCTCGCCTCTGCGCGATCTGCCGATCCCATCATCATGCACCGCAGACAGCAATACCACGCTCTGAGGCAAAACCTCATGACGATCATGGTCACTATGGATGAGAAAAACCACGTCATCAACAATGCTAATGAAGAGGTGGGGAGACACATTCAGAGATTAGATCGTATATGGCCACACATCGCGGACGAAATATCGGAAGAAGCCAGACTGGGGAGCCTGAAGCATTGGGCCTACACCGAAACGAATCCCATCAAGAAACCCACCGTGCCCACTACGCGCAGAGAGGCTGCGGCCGCTGGCTTAGCCACTCTGCATGAGAGCGAGGTCGCGCATAGAAGCGAAGCTAGGAGAGAGGCGGTTCTTGCAAGGAGGCAACGGGGAGCCGCCAATCATGCCGACTCTGACTTTGACGAATCTAGAGCACCCACGCGCAAAACAACCACCAGCGGCAAGAAGCGGACGGCTGATGCAGCACTAGATCCTGCTGGGCTGGGCATCAGCGGCGCAGGCGCAGGCACGGGGAAGAGGAAGAGACCGGAAAAGCCTGCAACTGCGGGTGTGGCCATGGAACGCTCGATAAGCAGTGCGCTCGGAGGACGCCCGATGTCTAGGGAGAATTCGCAGCAAGAAAACTCCAAGAAGAGAAAGGCATCCGCTACTGCCACCTCTGTAGCCCGCAAACGGTATGTGTATGATCAGAAAACCGAGAGTGCTGCTAATGATTGGATTTCTAGGATCAATGCCGCAACCCAAGACTCGCCCAAGCTCGCCTCGTCACCGCTTGCTGGAACAACTGGGAAAGAAGCTTACAAGCGTAGCCCTGCTCTCTCTGCAGTCCGCCCTGCCGGTCGAGGACGCCAGAATTCTGCACATACTGTCGAGAGCGTGAAAGGGAGACCTTCTTCCCTGACATCGAACAGAAATGGGAATAACAACAACAATAATGTGGCCGCTGGTACATCAGAGTTGGGCAGTTCCGCTGCGGTTAGTGGGAAGAGCACAACAGATGCCAAGAATAGTACGAAGGACACAAAAGCCGAGAAGGGGGAGCGACTAGTTGAAGATGAGTCTGCGAGGCTGAATGACGCGGATGGCGAACAACTAGCGAAAGGGATCACATCGTCGGACAAGACCACCAGCAGGCAAGATACTGCCAAGGGTGACCTACAAGAGGAAGTATCCGCGAAGGAGGCAGCGTCGCCGCGTCTGCCGCCAGCACTGCAAATCAGTGAACTGAAGAACGAGCGCATGGGTAGAGGCCGAGCCTCCAAGACGTCAACACCGGTGGTTAGCACTTTTGCCGAAGTCGACGCTGCAGAGACGTCGTCGACTGGCGGAAATGGCGGTGGCGCCACGAAAGCCAAACGCCCTGCCAGACCGAGAGTGAAGGACCACGGTCTCCACGATTCTCTGTCACCAAAAGGCTTGCCAATGAAGCGACCTCACAAAAAGAGTGCGAGTTTATCGTTTCCTTCTACCTCGAACGCTCTCGGCAGCCAGCGGGTAAAAGATGAAACGGACCCTCCCACGAAATCGTCCACGCCATCAGAACGCGACCTGGCTACAGGCACCCCGGTGATTAACGCCGAAGCAGGGGAGGTAGAGGACGAGGATGAAGAAATCGACGGACTGGAGGAAGACGAAGAGAGGTACTGCTACTGTCAAGGGGTGAGTTACGGGGAGATGGTGGCGTGCGACAGGGACGATTGTCCTAGGCAATGGTTCCATTTGGAGTGTATTGGGCTGAAAAGCGTGCCCAAGAGCGCCAAGTGGTATTGTGACGAATGTAAAGAGGTACTGGCAAGGAGTGAGAAGACGGGTGGGAAGGGAAAGAACGGTGGCAATGGACACAACGGAAAGTAGACACAAGGGATGTTTGGCAACACAAGCCAGGGCGAGCGACTTCTTTTGAGCCAGAGACAATATCGATATGTATACAAAGCATTCGGTGCATGCACCAGTATTACAAGTACAAAGTACCATGGCTGTATTCGGCGTCTTGACTGCTCCTGCTCGTGCCTGATATATGGACCCGACATAGCATAGTAGTGGAGTGGCTCTTCCGCGCCTTGTCACGGGCTTTGGATGGACAGGAGGGGCGATGTTGTTGAGCCTTGAGCCGTGAGCCTCGAATCTTGTAGCCATGTAAAGCTCATGGATTTCCCACCTGCCTCTTATACACGTCTC